GGGGGGGGGGGGGGTGTTGGGGGGTTAACCCCCCCCTTTGGTATTTTTATGTGTATAAACCCCCCTAAAAAATCCCTAAACCCCCCCCCCCCCCTTTGGATTTTTTTTTTTTTTTTTTTTTTTTTTTTAAATAAAAAAAAAACAAAAAACCCACGGCTGACCTAAGAAAGGTGACCTTAACCCCCCCCCAAGGAACAAAATGTCAAATTTTCAAATTTCGAGACCAAAAAAAAAAAAAAAGTGTCCCTCTTACCCCCCCCCCCCCCCCCCCCCCCCCCCCCCCCCCCCCCCCCCCCCCCCCCCCCCCCCCCCACTGAGCGACTTTTCGGCTGGCTGAGTCGTTGCGATTTTTTTTGGACTACCAAAAAAAAAAAAAAGTGTCCGCTTACCCCCCTCCCCCCCCCCCTTTTTTTGCCGGCGCGATTTTCAAATTTTCCTGAGTCGTTGCGAAATTTTGGACCCGATTTTAAACCCCCCCCCCCTTGAAAAAATCCTGCGTACGCCACTGTTTGGTACATTGCCAATTGTGAAATTGTTCAGTTTTATCATCATATTGTTTGGAAGATACATCTCCACATGAAATATGTATCCATTGGTTACATTTTATACAAAGTAGCGCTTTTTTATTACACTTTACGGGTTTCTCACATATATAACAAGGAAAAACAATGACCATGGTTAAAATGATAAAATAGGACAAGAAAAAAATTGAAATATAAATACAATTAATTTAAAATAACGTTCGTCTCCTTCTCAAATAAATTGAATATAACGTTTGAAATTCTCAACATGAGCCAAGCTGGCATCTGTGGGTGGAGGCTTGGAGTCTTGAAAATGGGTGGAGTCTTGAAAATGTCTTCAAGTGGGAAAATAACAACTATTAGTTGTCAAATCGACTTTAGGGCTATAAAGCCCAAAAGTAATAGTCTTGATTTTCAGACAAATGTACTGAATGGTCATCATGGGTGTCGATCCGTAACTGATACCTATTCATCAGGGGGGGGGGATGATCTATTCATTCATCCCCCCCCCTGATGAATAGGTATTACGTAAGGATCGACACCCATGATGGTCATACGTTTTATGCTGCGCAAAGATTCAATCAGTTTAATCTTGGCCATCACAAGAAGTGGGTTATTGATGAAGACAAATGCTCATGTACCCTTTACAACTCTTTTCATGTATGTTATTACCAAAGAAGAAAAAAGGCCAGTCACTCACTCAATAGTGTCTGAAAGTGAAGTCTAGCAAGTAAACGGGTTTCCTTGCATAATTTGAATATGAGGACACTGCTAACGTTTAAATTTCACAGATAGGACATACATGACATATTCATAATTCCTGCAAAGTTCTACAGAATTTGAGGTTGGCTGCAAAAGGGACATAGTACCTTTAACAGTCGAGAACGGTACAATAAATCGTCTTCTTTTCCTAATAATTTAAGGAAACGTCTAAGCTTCCGCGCTTCGCGCGGTAGGCCTATCACCCACACCCCCTAATGAGCGCGCTTCGCGAACTCTTTGAGTGATTCGCCTGCTCACTACTGCCCCTCCCTAAAATGCCCCTCCCTTACCATTATACATCATTTTCTAAGTGATGGGACTCAAAATAAAGAGTTCACATCTTCCTGACGAAATACTCAATCTTTATGTTACTACTTGAAAGTGTGTCGTCTTATTTCGGAGTTCATTATAATAAAACACTACAGTTTGCAGCTGTCAATATTTCGAAATATATATGTCCAATTCTTTTACTTTATGGTTGTCAAATTTGGCATGTGCGTGCATGTATGTATGCATGTATAAATGTATGTACATGTGTTTGGGTATGTGTGTGTTTGTGGTGTGTGTGTGCGTGTGTGTGCGTGGGTGTACGTGTCTGTGTGTGTGTGTGATAGAGGGTGAGTATGTTTATGTGATGGAGGGGGCAGGGAAGGGGCAGGATTGTTTCAGTAAAATTACCTCCAGATTTGTTTAAGTTTTTTGTTGTTGTAATATATAAGTAAATAACATTTACAATTGACATATTATGTTTAGGTACTTATACGTTTACTTTGTTGCTAAGTTATATTATACTGCAAATAAGTTTGTGTTTAATTGTGTTTATGTCAAAGCATCAATATTGAACACGTTTATTTTATTCAATTGTATGTCATCGTTTGTATTACACATCTGGAGAAATAAAACAAAATTGTTAAAAAATAAATTAAAAAAAGTGTGTGTTGTGTGTGTTGTGTGTGTGTGTTGTGTGTTGTGTGTTTGTGCGTGCGCGATCGCGCGCGCTTGCGTAAATCAGTGTGGGCGTGTGCTCGTGCTAGTGGCTATCGCCGATCATACCCCCTCCCCCCATCAGTACGCCAGCGTTCAGGGGCTCATGTCTTCTCACCCCTATAAAAAAAAAACAGACACGCTTTCCCATTCTCGCACAATATGTCCACGATATGCGCGTATCGCTATTATAAAGACCTCCATTGATAAATACCTCCATTGATAAATAAATACAAATGAATAAAAAGAAGTAAGAATGACATGAATTATGGAAGGTGTGTATGTGATATAACCAATAATCTGCACGTACTGTTAAGAAACACTAACAAAGCCCATGAATGTTTTGCTTACGATATTATTTTTCGATACTATCTTAAAAGATAGATAAATATAAAACGAAATAAATATATTTTTCAAAAATACAAAAATGAGAGATATAACACGTGCCGTAAAGTATTTTGGTGACAATAGTCAAATTACTGACTAATCGCCAATAAACCAAAACACAACAACAACCTTATAGGTGGCAAGCGCAATGTTTATGACATTTGATTCCTGTGAACTGTCCTTTTCTTTGAATGGAATTGTATATATGATTTAATTCAGGTTTTTTTTATTATTATTATTATTATTATTATTATTATTATTATTATTATTATTATTATTATTATTATCATTATTATTATCATTATGTTTTTAGGCAATCTGCATTGAAATTTGATATGGTTTCTTGTAAAGGATTTCTCATTAAATGGAAGGCAGGTAGTGTAATATTCAAGTATAAAGGTCCCCTCCGACAGATTAAATAAATCAAGCACTTAGTGAGAGCGGGAGCGGGGGAGGGGGAGGGCAATCTTAATCCCTCCTGTGAGACACGTCGACATTTCAATTTCTTAGCTTGTTACTGGAGATGAAAGTGTAAGAATTCGTCTTCCAGCTCATTATGTCTCGCCTTGGAACAATCTTTGATAGATTAGTGATTTATCCTCAAACTTTGTATTGATAATGGAGGATTTTTCCAAAATTGTTTAAAAACATGCCTATTTACAACCCGATCTGGAACATACCTCGACATTTCATTTTCTTAGATTATTGCATGAAAAGAAAGCCTCATACTTCTGCTTTCAACTCATATAATTATGTCATGCCTTGGAAGTTGGAACAACCTTTTATTTAATTTCTGTTAGGACAGAAATCTTGGTTAATTTCTGCGACCATTTCCCAAAAGTCACATCCGCGCACCGCATTGCCACTTATTGAACACGCTAAAGAAGTAAAGCGCAAAGTCTGAGCAATAGGAGGGGGGGGGGGGGCTCAAGATAAATCCCTCTTGTGACACACGTCGACATTTCAATTTCTTAGCTTGTTACTGCAGATGAAAGTGTAGGAATTTCTCTCTTAGCTCATATGTCTCGCTGTCATTGTGTGGTGGGATTTTTTTCATTCTCAACTCTCCTGACACTGTCGAGTTGTTTAGGCAGAGACTGTCCTATTTGCAGGCCCAAAAAAAAAAAGGTAAAATTCCAACGGCATTTGAAAGATAATACTAATTTAGAACTTCCCTAAAAAAAGGGGGGTGCTTAAAAATGTCTTTAAGTGGGAAAATAACGACTTTTAGTTGTCGAATCGACTTAAGAGCTATAGAGCCAGTAAGTAATAATTTGATTTTCAGACCATTGTACCGAATGGTCGTACGTTTTATGCTGCGCAAAGATTCAATCAGTTTAATTTTGGCCATTACAAGAAGTGGGTTATAGACAAAATTACCCTTTACAGCTCATTTTATGTATGCTATTACCAAAGAAGAAAAAAGCCAGTCAGTCACTCAATAGTGTCTGACAATGAAGTCTAGCAAGAAAATGGGTTTCCTTGCATAATTTGAATATTAGGACACTGGTAACGTTCAGATTTCACAAATAGGACAAACATAACATATTCATAATTCCTGCAAAGTTATACAGAATTTGATGTTGGCTGCAAAAGGGACATAGTATCTTTAAGGAAGTTGTTATTGAGAGAGCCAAAGTGGATTGGAGATTTAGGGCAGTTTAATCAGATTGCATATGAGATCTCGAGAGGATCAGACCTTTCTGATTTTGGAATGAATGAGGGGTGTTGGCCACGAAGGTGAATTTTCCAGCCACAGCTAGGCTACAATCCATCGTGAGCAATAAAAACTCTAATCCATCCCCTGAAAATTTTAATCGCACCGCCCCCATTTGTGAGCTCCTTTCAAAGAGCACAACAAGCCCTCAGATTAACATTCCATCTCATTCAAAAATAGCAGACAGCTTGATATTATGGGATGATACCCACATTGTTGAGTTGTCCATCTAAAAAGGATTTAGTCCTTCACTGAATTGGTGCTCTTGCTATACATTGTTACCTTTCTTTGCTCCAGTAATCTCAAGCCTCGAGGCAGCAGACAGCAAGAAATTGAGTAACGGATAAAACAACAAAAAGTCCACAGGAGTGGTTGTTAGAAGCTGAAACTACATACAACTTTCATTCTCTCCTAACGAAGGACGATTTTATTTAACAGCGGGTTTTCTTGGACACCAATTTTATCTTTATTAATGAGGTCCAGGGGTCCGCCTTAGGTCCCCTGGATAGCCATTGTGAGCGATAACAACTCTAGTTCATCCCTTGAGATTTTAATCGCACTGCCCCCATTGTGCGCTCCTTTCAGAGAGCACAAACACCCCTCAGATTTAACATTCCATCTCACTCAAAAATAGCAGACACGCTCTTAACTAAAATAACAACAACAACATTCCTAGCATATGGTCACGTGCTTTATTTCAGGAGTTATCACTCTTTCTTGAATAATACTCTTCGTCAGCACTCCACCCTTGCCACTCCTTGAAAGCAAGTCGACTAGAAGAGAGGTTTAGACTTTAGGTACCTGAGATCCAGAGAAATTTTTACTTTCTATCTTCAATTTTGCCGTGTCAATCCCAATTTCTAAGGATGGTAAGTTGTTAAATCATAATTCAATTTTGTTTTCCTTCCTGACATGTGTTGCTGTCGTCTAAAGTTGAGGGCTTCAATAATAATGAGGTATTAATACACCAGTTTAACAAATTTCATTTCGTCATATTTCTCTCTCGAAACCCTGGTCATTCTATTCACCTATTAGGTATAATGGATTGTCTGTGGATGGAATCCAGTAGCATACATTAATTGTTGATACGTAGACGACCCGGCCACCCCCCCCCCCCCCCCCCAACTCAGTGTTATTTAGGGTACGCATATGCGTGTTCCCTCCTTTTGAAACCACCCCCTAAGTCCGGCGTGTAAAGTCAATTTTGTGTATGTACGAGCCGGACTTTGGTGCGTGAAAAGTACCCCTTTACCGGACATTTTGGTAACATGCATGCGGTCATTCCGACCCCGGAGTGGGGGGGGGGGGGGGGGTCAACGATCACTGCTGCAATAATACTGTGCGACCCAGAAAAATCGATACCGAGAATTATCGATGTTTTACATAATTTACTACAATTATAATTAATAAATGACACATATTTGTAAAGCTTAGATCCTCCTCTTTCACTTGATGCAACTCATATATGATGCATATTTCACGCATGAGTGATTAAAAACCATTTGAAGTAAGGAAACCAAAAAGTCATTTGGCGGGCGGTATCTGAATTTCGAAGATAAAAATACACATTTCTAGAAAGTTCAGTTTCTGCCCTTTCATACACCTTAATCAGGAAAATAGAGCCAGGAATAACAAAGTTCTGTTTGTTTAAAGTGATGCTTCAATTTCCATAATTTGATTTAAAAAAAAATAATTTCACTGGCTGCCTGCCGGAGCAACAAGCAGAATTGACAAAGACTTACTCCGTTTCATTGACAATCAGCCATGCATGGAGCGTTTCGTCTATGTCTGATCGTCAACGAAACGGAGTTAAGTCTTTTGTCAATTCCGTTTGTTGCTACGGCAGGCAGCCAGTGAAAATGAATTCGTTTAATTAAATTATGGAAATGCAAGCATCACTTTAAATAAACAGAACTTTGTTATTCCTGGCTCATTTTTCCTGATTAAGGTGTCATATGAGAGGGCAGAAAATGAACTTTCTAGAAATGTGATTTTTTTTCTTTGAAATTCAGATACCGCCCGCCAAATGACTTTTTGGTTTCCTCCCTTTTACTGTAGTGAAAGATACTAGCACAAATCAAAATAGACTAGTATATAGGGTTGAATTTACTAACATTATTTTACTAGATGATTTAATTCATGTTTTTTTTTTCTTCAAAATTATATATTCTACTACAAGTTTAAAAGTGGTCTGGGAGGAGGGACCCCTGAGCTGGCAGAAAAACAAACAAACGTATAGCTCTGTTTAATCTTATTTCACAACGCCCCTATCTTCAGAGTCAGCAGCCTAACATGTTAGCCTATGGAATTTTACCCCCAAAAATCGTTTTTTTTTTTTTTTTTTTTTTTTTTTTTTTTTTTTTTTTTTAAATCATTTTTTTTTGTTTAAACGAAAAGCACATCCACCCCGACGTACGTTCTCTGTAGCTCTTTCATTGGAACCCTCATGTCCCATTCACTTTTGAAAGTTCACCCACCGTAATTTGATCAAAATAGGTTGCAAGCTCGTCATTGCCTATACTACACATTCATCTCAGGTGAGCGCCCCTTTTCAGGTACAAGAAATTCCCCTTACCATCTCTGACAAGTACCCATTCACCTCTTATAATTGCCTATGAGAGGTGTCCCTTACATTTTTGAGAGTTTAAAGTGCTTCTTTTCATTTTCGGTGAGTGCCCTTATTAATATTTGAGAGGTGCTCCTTTAACTTTGTAATAAGAGCCCCTTTTATCATGACGCGTGCTTCTATGATTTCAAATTAGTGCCATTTCTCTCCTAATAATTGCCCCTTTTCCTTCAGTTTGTAATAAGTGCCTTTTAAAATTTCTGGTGAGTGCCTCTTATGAGGTGCGAGTAGTGTCTCATTATTAACTATGCTAATTCCTATATTTACCTTGACACGTGCTCCTTTTCTTTTCTAATAAGTGTCCTTTTAACTTTGGATATGTGACCCCTTTTACTTTTACCATAAGATGCGCTCCTAATTTAAAGCGACTAAGAGCAACTTTTTCTTCAATTAGTACCCAAAGCTCGCTCGATACGCTCGCTCGCATTTTATGTTAATGAATGTTGTTTCTTATTAAAGATCTTTTCAGTCTTTCATGATTAGGATTGTTTTGTCCTCTTTATAAAATGTAATTTTTTGCACTGCGACCCCACAACTCTTTTTTTTTGCTAGCTCGCTTCGCTCGCTCCCAAATAAATATTCAGACCATCACACCCAGCTGCATAGTATTATGCTTAAGCAGTTTCTTGGACCATGTAAAGAAGGAAACAAGCAACGAAATCATCCCTGATAATCTAATCACAATGTAAGGGTATAAGGGCCTACCAACGGTATTTTTTTCGCTTTAAGGTTTCACTTTTACGTTGGTGTATAACAATTAAATGAAGCAAAATACGGCATTTCACAATATAATTCGCTCATCACTAATAATGCTTTTTTAATTTCGTTTATTTCTTTTTTCATTACAGGCTGTCCAATTATTATTTACCGAAGAGCAAAAAGCTTGTAAGTATAGCAACCAGGGGACCGATGGCTTTCAATCCCCTCCTAATGAGTATTATGCACCAGCGCATTGACTTGGTTTCGAACACGGGACCTCCCAGTTATGAGACCACTGCTCTACCACTGAGCCATCACGCCTGCTTGCAGCTTAAAGATTGCAATACTGAAGAAATCAAGCAAAATAACGCCTAATGATGAAATCAAATTCTTATGCAGTCCAATAATTTCTAGTCATGTAGAAGTATTTGATTTTATTTCGTAATTGCCAGTCTTTCGCTAGTTATTACGTATATTACTCGATGTTTCCTACACACATCTTCTACTCCTTTCCTCCCCTGTCTGACTGACACCATATTTACACTTTATTTTTAATTTTGTTATTTTACATCTTTTAGTATTCAAAAGCTCCTTCAAATCAGAAGACACGGATGGCGATGGCAAAATCACTTCTGAAGAGTTGAGAGCAGCGTTTAAATCAATTGAAATAGACTTGACTCAGGAAAAGATTGACGAAATGATGGGAATGGTTGATAAAGATGGTGAGTTCATAGTGAAGACTTAGGAAATGACAACGAAATAGATGATACAACTGACCACAACACGTAAATTGAACTTTAATAATTTATGACTTAAAGCATAAAACAATTTTTTATTTGATATGGGTTGCAAAATCTGTAAAAGAAGTTTAACATGTTAACAATGAATTCTGTGATTTTAAAACAGTCAATTGGAGTGCTGGTTTTTCATTCCGTGTTAGAGTTCGTCACACGACAGGAAGCAGCCAGAAAATAAACTGAAAAGAAGATTTCTTTAGGTGATTTTAAATGATATTTCAAAGATGTTTAATTGGTACTTTTCGGTTCACAAAACATATACCTTGGACTCAAGAATACTTTATATCTTTTACATAATTGATGTCAAATAAATAAATAAATAGCTAGCTTGAACGTCTGTTCATGACGGATTATAAAAAGAGGTAATTAGGTCAACAATATTGTAGTAAAATGTAAAATTAATTAAAATAAAATAAAGTGTAGTACACAATTCTATTTTCTGTGGTGAAACGAGAGCTTGCCTTTTTGATTTGCTATACATTGTTCTTCTTTATACGAAGTAAAAAGCATTCTTTTAGGACAGTCAATGATTGGCTTGTTTTTCTTGTTTATGCACAGGTAAATACATCGCTTTGCTAATATTAAAATGTAATTAATTGTTATACTGTGTGGGTGCTTTTCTAAATGTCCCACTATGACTGTGATATTTCATCAAGGAAAGATAAGTCAAACATGGACAACAAAACGTTGGTTTAATTCCAAAACGTCTGATCATAGCTACATTGCCATTGCACATGTTTTAAAGTTTCTGAATTTTTGCAGCCAAACGGTCATTCTGGAAAAGGCTTTATTTTCATTTTGAAAAGCCTTTACTTAAAAAACAGAATATTATGCTGAACTTTATTAGTGTTTTTGTTTCAACATTTGTATCGGTCACAATTGTTCGTACTTTACACAATACAGTATCACTCAAATCATACTCTTTGCTTGTTAACGAAACGAGCTCAGAGATTACTCTCTTTTTATTTCAACATAAGAGTGTTTACTTTTTATCACCTTAAAGGTGACCAGATCTGGTCATGCGATTGCATTGTGAAAGAAACGTTGTGGAATCGATCAGAAAAGGTTGATCATCTAGCATATGAGTATTGGTGTGTACTGCAAGGTTCTGGAATCATCAAAATGATACGAAATTTAGCCCAGTCTTGGTAAAGTTGCAAGCATTGTACAAAAAAAAGATGTATGGGACTACGAGGTCTCTATCCAGTCCGGATAGATATATTAACTTACCAAATATATCAATTAGTAGGCAGTGTTTCCCGGCAAGCTGTGTATCATCACGTATTAGTCAAAACATTATTTCACATGATTGGTCATTAGAGCTTCCATTTCATTTTTTGAGAACACGGCGTTTCCAAAACTGGTCTCTACTTTTAAGATGTCTAAACTCATTAGGCATTCAGTATTTAAGTGAATCATCGGATCTGATCTTCGTACATTGAATCGAGCTGTAAGAATACAAGATGAATCACTATTCGAAAAGGACTTGTGTGAGAACTAAGAAGTCTATTTTTTTTATTCGGCTAGGTAGCAAAGATATGGACTTTTCTGAGTTTTTGATGAGGAAGGCAGAACAGTGGCGCGGAAGAGAAGTACAATTAATTAAAGCTTTCGACGACTTGGACAAGGATCACAACGGATCCCTCAGGTAAGCTGAACAGTGATATAGTGATAGGGTAGTCTTAAGGAGTGAAAGGGTATAAAAAGGGGTGCTTTCAGAGTCTTTTATGAGGATGGCAATAGATGTATTAGGTAAATTAGAAGAAGAAAAATATCCAATGGATAGTCCGACCAAGTTTCCGCTGCTGGAGAAATGTGGACAATTATGGGATCAATTTCTTGCTTAAGACGAATGTTAAACAGCGTGTTATAGGATACCAAATCCCTGATGATGACCCTCCCGCTCCCCTCCCTCCCCCGCCCCTCCCCCTCTCTCTCTCTCTCTCTCTCTCTAAAACTATCCAATACTTGCGATGTACGATCTACCACCTGGGAGAACATACCCTATATATTCTATAGGATAGTGCAAACAGCTGTTGTTTTAGGGATGACAGTTATCCGGGTATCAGTAAATTTGTATCACGGGTTAGTTGTCTGGATAGTTTTGTGTTTTCAGTCTTTGCCCGGGTCGTGATTGTCCGGACGGATGGAGATGATTATTGTGCTTGTTATGTAAGAGTAGATCAATGACCTTATTTTTATTTTCTATATGGTATGGTCGAGATCAGATTTAGCACCTCTGCTGGATCAATATTCAATACATTTAAAAGAATATTCGATAATTAAGTCAATGACTTCAATGGAATAATCCAAATTTGGAGAAAGTGAACTCAATATAGGCCTATTTGTTATTTGTTAATTATTTGCTTGCAGTCCTCAAGAGCTGCGTACAGCGATGTCAGCATGCACCGATCCACCGATGACGGAGAAGGAAATCGATGCAATCATCGAGAAAGCCGACTGCAATGGGGACGGTAAAATCTGCCGTGAAGGTGAGTGCACTTTGGAATGATATTGGGAGGGGCACCGATCTTACTCTTAAAATGAAATACGAATTTGAAAGGCTGCTGATTAGAGAAAGGGTTTTGGAGGGGGTCCAGGCGTTTTTTTTTCTTTCTCGTCCCTTTCCCCCAATTTCAAAACCTCAGTCAGCTGACAGTATAAACAGATTCTCATTTAATACACAATGAGCCTTCGATAATTGGTCCCAAACATTTAGAAAAAAGACTTGATGCATGGCTGATTGTCAACGAAACGGAGTTAAGTCTTTTGTCAACTCTGTTTGTTGCTACGGCAGGCAGCCAGTGAAAACGAATTCGTTTAATGAATTATGGAAACGCAAGCATTACTTTAAACAAACAGAACTTTGTAATTCTTGGCTTATTTTTCCTGATTGAAGGTCATTTTTCCTGATTGAAGGGTCATATGAGAGGACAGAAAATGACTTTCTAGAAATGTAATTTTCTCTTTTTAAAATTCAAATACCGTTCGCCAAATGACTTTTGGATCCCTTTTCTTCAAATTGTTTGTTAATCACTCATGCATGAAATATGGATCATATGAGTTGCATTACATGAAAGAAGAGGATCTAAGTTTTAAAAAATGTGTCATTCATCAGGCGCGGATCTACGGGGGGGGGGGGGGTTAGGGGGTTTAAACCCCCCCCCCCCCCTTGGGCCGCCAAAAAAGAAAAAAACAAAACAAAAAAAAACGCACACTGGAGAGAAATCGCCTCGCCGCTACGCGGCTCGTGGACGATGCTCCGCTTCGCATCGCCATTGGGTCAAACCCCCCCTTAGCAAAAAGCTAGATCCGCCCCTGTTCATTAATTATAATTGTGATTAAGTTATGAAAAAAAGGTAACTTGCTTCGACGTATATACATGAAGGCCATTTTTGGTGAGAGGATGCTATGCTTTGCGTTGTCTTGTTTCTTTTCATTCACTGCATATTTTTTTCTCCTTTTCTACCTTTCAGAATTCACGAAGTTGATTCACTCGTCTTAAGCTACTCGGTGAAGATGATGAACGTTATCTTCTACTTCAACATCGACAACTTGTCCTTCTTATTTTCTTTGAGGAATCTCCGGGAGAGGGTGACATAATCGTCTCGTATAATTTTTCTTATCTTGATTTTATTATGTTCCGGTGGTTTCTTTTTGAGTTGTCACATTATGGTTTGTATTGTTTGTCTTTTTTCAAAGAGTGGTTCGAAATTCACTTCACATTATTTCTTTACATTTTAATCATTATACCAAGGATGCCTTTACAATGTTTGTGTTCTCCTTCCAGGAATAAATGTTGCGTTTTTTCCATTTCTTCTGAAAGCCAACTATTGGTATTGCATTATATGATACCTTTGACATCATGATTTTGTTTATTCGTTTTTTAATTGTATCATAGTCATCGTGATTGTGGTTAGGATGGAGGTCGACTAACACCAAAGAATATCCATTTCCGAAAAGTGACATGGTACACAAGGGAGAAGAGGAATTTAACTTTCTTAATTCTTGATAGGCGGTAAAAGCACTTATCTTAAATTATTTTAATGGCCTTTCATCTGGAGGTGTCGTGGGCCATTCACTTGATTCATTGAATTAAATTGAATGGTTGATTGATCATACTAAAAATGGCAGCATGAGGGCTGAATTACATTCATTCTTACAATAATTAAGAGCACATGTAATGAATAGCATTGTTAAATTAATTAACTATCACACAACACTTGCAAGAATACATTCAAAGATAAAATTAATAAGATAAAACATTACGACCAAAAGAAAACCTTTCAATCTGGGACTCTAGGAAGATTAGAGCCATTTAACAATGTAATGGTCCTATAGAGCTATTCATCTGTATTTTTCTTAAAGTAATTACAATTATTGTTATGTTCATGTGTATGTATTATGTTTGTTTATACGGAAAATGAAACCAAACCAATCCAAGAGTTGAGAGCCCGGCACTAACATCCTTTGGCAAGGCATTAATCCATAATTATGTGCCACTCTCCACCCAGGTGTAAATGGGTACCTGGCAATTGCTGGGTAATGATAATTGCAGGGCCCGCAGAAACAGTAGTATTAATACTGATGTTGCTAGCCTGAGTTAACAAAATTGCTTTTATTATTATTATTATTATTATTATTATTATCATCATTATATGGCGATATCACTTGATAAAGTGGAGGAAATGGGTATTATGTAAACAATTAAAGACGATGCAATTTATAATAATGCAATGTTCACTAAATAAAAATCTGCTAAACAATATTCTGATATTACTACCGTCCAGTTTGTATGTCTTTGAAAAATAGATTTATAGTAGTTTTTGGAAATGTACACCTTTAATTTATGTAGTTTATTTGCTATAAAGAATTAATTAAAACATATATCACAAACGTTACCCGCTTCGTTGACAAAATGGTAATGACAGAGATGATGATGATTATGATGATGATGATGATGATGATGATGGTGATGATGATTATGATGATGATGATGATGATGATGATGATGATGATAATGATGATGATGATGATAATGATGATGATGATGATGATGATGATTATGATGATGATGATGATGATGATGATAATGATGATAATGATAATGACGATGATGATTGTGATTATGACTGTCCACCTCATGAATAAAAGTTGTCTTCATGTCTTATGTCTTAATTTATTTCAACATTCAGAACTACTTTGCATTCTGCACAGATATATTGGTAGTTTTTAATCTCAATTTTTCTTTCAAGTTGGGGGTGGGTGAAATGTTCATGAACCAATCCAGGATGCGCCAGGATGTACACTTTACCAAATCTAAGCATTTGGTTGGACATTGTTTTGGGAATTTTTATAACTCAATAACAATAGATAGGCCTAGGTAAAGACAGATAGATTTTTAAAAAGATCGTCATTGACTTTTACAGTAGCACAAAACTCAATCCCAGGGTAGCTCTTATTTTTTATCGTCTTCATATCGGGAAGGAGGGCAGGAAAGGGACGTTTAAACAAACCTTATAATATGTCTTTTACATAGGCACCTTACGCCACTTAAAACGTCTTGCATTGCCCATTTATGTACCTCGAGACTTCAGCGAATCTTCTCATATTTGGGGCGCCTTGAGAGTTTGGCACTTCATTTTGGATTGCTTGGACGGGATTTGAAGCTATTGTCCGGAATGACCGAACATTTTCAGAATAAAAAGCCGACTCTAAAGTTAAACAGTAAGGTCCAGACATCTTCCCCCGGCAGGTAACATATACCACCCAAAAGCTGAAAAAATCCACTATTCGAATATGTTATCAGCTAAGAATAAAAAATGTCGGCCAAAGTTTCAGGTGGCTTGAGAGTTTGGCACCTCATTTTGGATTGCTCGAACGGGATTTGAAGCTATTGTCCGGAATGACCGAACATTTTCAGAATAAAACGCCGACTCTAAAGTTTAACAGTAAGGCCCAGACATGTTTCCCCGGCAGGTGACATATACGACCAGAAAGCTTGAAATCTCCTCTATTTGAATATGTTATCAGCTAAGAATAAAAAATGTCGGCCAAAGATTTAGGCGCCTCGATAGTTTGGTACCTCATATTGGATTGCTCGAACGGGATTTGAAGCTGTTGTGCGGAATGACCGAACATTTTCAGAATAAAACGCCGACTCTAAAGTTTAACAGTAAGGCCCAGACATGTTCCCCCGGCAGGTGACATATACGACCAGATAGCTTGAAATCTCCTCTATTTGAATATGTTATCAGCTAAGAATAAAAAATGTCGGCCAAAGATTTAGGCGCCTCGATAGTTTGGTACCTCATATTGGATTGCTCGAACGGGATTTGAAGCTGTTGTGCGGAATGACCGAACATATTCAGAATAAAACGCCGACTCTAAAGTTTAACAGTAAGGTCTAGACATCTTCACCTGGCAGGTAACCTATACCACCGGAAGGATGAAAATCTCCTCTATTCGAATATGTTATCAGCTAAGAATAAAAAATGTCGGCCAAAGATTAAGGCGCCTTGAGAGTTAGGCACCTCATCAGGCGCGGATCCAGGATTTTCCAATAGGGGGGGGGGGGGGGGGGGGCGGAGATTTGAAAAATTGCGCAGACCGTTTCTCAACTCAACATACCAATACTGACAAGGTCATATTACAAGCACCATACCGGTACAATTTTTTTACATTTTCATCGGGGGGGGGGGGGGCTGAAGCCTCTTTCCTAAAAAAGTAATTTTCTGGTTTCACAATTCGGCTAGTGAGCGAAGCGAGCGAGCACAAATTTGAGGATAATATGTATTTTGTGAAAGTGTTATTTATCTCCAAAATATACGAGAAAAGATATTAAAAAAATCATATTCGGGCAAGTCGCTGTTCGCCCCCCCCCTCCCCCCTTTACGCGCGAAGCGCAGAAGCTTTGATGTTTCATGAAATTATTAGAGAAAGAAGACGATTCGTTGTACCGTTCTCGATTCTTAATCATTGTCTGAATTCAGTTTCCTCACCCCCTCTCGCGCGAAGCGCGGAAGCTGTAACATTTTATCAAATCATTAGAGAAAGAAGACGATTCGTTGTACCGTTCTCGACTCTTAATCCTTGTCTGAATTGAGTTCCTCCCTCCCGCGCAAAGCGCGGAAGCTTTGACGTTTCATTAAATTATTAGAGAAAGAAGACGATTCTTTGTTCCATTCTCGACTCTTAATCCTTGTCTGAATTGAGATTCCTCCCCCCGCGCAGAAGCTTTGACGTTTCATTAAATTATTAGAGAAAGAAGAAGATTCGTTGTTCCGTTCTCGATTCTTAATCATTGTCTGAATTGAGTCCCCCCCCCTCCCGCGCAAAGATTGACGTTTCATTAAATTATTAGAGTAAGAAGACGATTCGTTGTACCGTTCTCGATTTTTAATCATTGTCTGAATTCAGTTTCCCCACCCCTCCCGCGCGAAGCTCAGAAGCTGTGACGTTTTATTAAATCATTAGAGAAAGAAGACGATTCGTTGTACCGTTCTTGATTCTTTATATTGTCTGAATTAAGTTAGCCCCCTCCGCGCGAAGCGCGGAAGCTTTGAAGTTTCATTAAATTATTAGAGAAAGAAGACGATGCGTTGTACCGTTCGCGATACTTAATCATTGTCTGAATTCAGTTCCCCCCCCCCTCCGCGCGACGCGCGGAAGCTTTGACGTTTCATTGAATTATTAGAGAAAGAAGACGATTCTTTGTACCATTCTCGACTCTTAATCCTTGTCTGAATTGAGTTTTTTTTCCCCCCGCGCAGAAGCTTTGACGTTTCATTGAATTATTAGAGAAAGAAGATGATTCGTTGTTCCATTCTCGATTCTTAATCCTTGTTTGAATTCATTTTCCCCCTTCCGCGCGAGGCGCGGAAGCTTTGACCTTTTATAGTGTAATGAAATTATTAGAGAAAGAAGATAATTCATTGTTTCATTCTCGACTCTTAATCCTTCTCTGAATTCAGTTTCCCCCTCTAGCGGAAAGCGCAGAAGCTTAACGTTTCATTAAATTATTAGAGAAAGAAGACGATTTGTTGTACCGTTCTCGACTTGTAAGAATTTTCAAAATTGTTTCTTTGTCTGCTCCTATGTCCTTTTAATGCCCCTACCGCCCTAGCTACGCATGCTTTAAAGGGAAAATGAAACAATTATGATTGTGATAGCACACAATTAGGTCAGTAGAAATGAAAGGGGGAAAAAAATTATTACACCAACCATGGGGGGGGGGGGGGGGGGGGGGGGGGGTAAGCGGACACTTTTTTGGGGGGGGGGGGGGGAGTCCAAAAAAAATCGCAACGACTCAGCCAGCCGAAAAGTCGCTCAGTGGGGGGGGGGGGGGGGGGGGGGGGTAAGAGGACACTTTTTTTTTTTTTTTTGGTCTCGAAATTTCAAAATTTGACATTTTGCTCCGTTGGGGGGGGGGGGGGTAAGGTCACTACACACATAAAAATACCAAAGGGGGGGGGTTTAACCCCCAAACACCCCCCCTGCGTACGCGCCTGACTGTCACCTAGCGCCATTTCCTTGTCTTTCCCCCTTTCTCACCCGCCTTTTCTCTCCCCCCCCCCCCCCCCCCCCCCCCCCCCACCCACTCAGTGTTGTTTAGGGTACGCGCATGTACATGTATGTTCCCTCCCTTTATCTTCGGTGTGTAAAGTCAGTGCGGGCCGGATTTTTGTGTATTACGGGCCGGACTTTGTTGCGTGAAAAGTAACCCTTTATCGGAGATTTTGGGAACACGAATTCGATCCCTCCGACCCGGAGTGGGAGTGAGGTGGGGGGGGGGGGGGGGGTATCTTCTTTTTCTTTCTCCTTTTTTTTCTCTCTCTTCTTTCTTTTCTCTTCTCCTTTCTTTTCTCTTCTCCTTTCTTTTTTCCTCTTTTTTTTTGCGCCGCCAATAGGGGGGGGGGGGGGCCGCGGCCGTTTCGGCCCCCCCCCCCCCCTGGATCCGCCACTGCCTCATTTTGGATTGCTCGAACGGGATTTGAAGCTATTGTGCACGGATGTATTGGCAGTGTGCCGATAATTCCAATTATTTTTTGGATATAGAGAGTTATTAATCATATCATTGATAATATTATTTTGAAATAGACTACAAATTTAAATATTTTCATTTGAAATAGACGACAAATATAATTATTTTCTAGTGAGGAGCACTAAAGAGAATGAGCGCTATTTTTTTTTTTTCTTCTTTCTTTTCTCTTTTATTTTTTTGATGACACCGTAAATGTGATTGCCAGGTTCAGGAGTGAACGAGTCATTCAGCTGAAATCTGATTTCCGAAAATCTCCAAGAAGAGAAGAATTTACCAAACATGAGACGACCAGAAGATATTCGGGGAGTGAACAGGTATCAACTTACTTGTATTTATTATAGAACCTCCGAGTGTTTGTATTATGAGGTGCACTACTTGATATTTTGAGTTTTTTGCAGCCCATTTTCACGACTTCACGTTCACCACAGTCCCATTCGCTAATTTTGGTGATGTACAAATTGAGAACTAGTATGGCGGTGTGACCCATAGGAGCATCACTATCCTGGCTGTGTAGTAAAAGCTGTGCTTTTGATTCTCGACATTTCAAACACCACTGTACAAAACTCAACTGATTTCACTCAAAATCAGTACTTTAGTGACAATTGATGACACCTAAATAGCAGTAAAATACATTTATTTCAACTTACTGATGTTAAAAAGAATAATTTAAAAATTTAAATTGTAGATCTAACTCTAGTCTAAGTCTAGTGTCAAACTTTGCTTACAGCTGCATCGACATGATTGTGAACAGTCTATGCGATATTGTGTGGTGTGTGTATTTGTGTATAGACTTCTAGGTCCCTGCCTCACAGCATGTATGCAGTGCTAGAGGTCGATACGCTTTAGCATTGACTCTCTATGCTTTGCTGGAGTGGTGTGACCTAGCCTTAAGGGCTCCCTCGAAATGTTTTTTATGATATTGATCGAGGGAGCCTTAAACGGCACCCATAGGGTCCCATGGAGAGGTAGGTAAACAACATCTCAAATGTGTCCAGTGTGACCAAAGTTCGTGCGTGACCAAAGTTCGCTTTCTCAAAAAATCGGTAAGATTTTGAAAATCTGATATCACCAATGAAAAGAAGGTCATAAAATTACCCAGAAACCAAATTTTCTTTAGAATTGGGTGCGAAATTGTGCAAATATTGACAAAAGATCGGCAAATTTTGCAGTTATTTGCGTCCGTTCCGAAAAATTATCAACTTACCGATAAGGGTCTGGAAATCTTCATTTTGAGATCAGAAATCCTCAAAATTGTAAGTAAAGAGTGGTACTAACTAATTGTACGATATCTTGCCTTGCAAATTATGATATTACCTTATTTTTGATGAATCACATTTTTGATAAATCAACTGTAAACCACCGTGCGTGAAGTAAGGTCTCATTGTTTTTATGACTTTTTTTAGATACAGCCCGCACGAACGATCGGACATCGAATTTTTAGATCGCGATATCTCCGAAATCATTCGACGGTAAATTTTTCTAGTTGAACCAATCTGTAGTAAAAAACTTTGCCGTCCATTTGGTAATAATTGAAAGAAATAAAGTTGTGTAGAATGTGAGAAATCATAGATCGAATATCACATTTTGTAATATGTTCTGAAATGTCCGCGAACTTTGGTCACCCCTTCATATAAAACTAAATTTACATGTAGGGTCCACACATAAGAGCGTCACTATCCTGGCTGTGTAGTAAAAGCTGTGCTTTTGATTCTCAACATTTCAAACACCACTGTACAAAACTCAACTGATTTCACTCAAAATCGGTACTTTACTAGTGACACCTAAATAGATCTAGTCTAGATCTAGCAGTAAAAACTAAAATAGGTGGCGAGTTTGCTCATTCGGTAAAGCGTCCGCCTGTTGAACCAAAGATCCCGGGTTCGACTCCCACCTAGGCGGATGACTGAAGCCTGCGTTGTGTGTTAACGTGCCCCTTCCCTTGTTCATAGACGCAGGTTATGTTAAGTGGAAAACACTCCGTCCCTCGGATAGGGCATTAAATGGAGGCCCCGTGTAGAGAAGAGTTACTACCTTTGCACGTTAAGAACCCACTGCACTATTCGTATAAGAGTAGGGGGAAACCCCGGTGTACGTGGTCCACCTGCACACACCCCCAGTATAGTACGATAATACTCTGTTAAGAGGTTTGTACTCAAAAAGTAAGAAGAATACATTTTTTTCAGTCTAGAATCTACTGATTTTAAAAAGAATAATTTAAAAATTAAAATTGTCAGTCTAGTGTCAAACTTTGCTAGTTACAGCTGCATCAGCATGATTGTGTACAGTCTATGGAATATTGTGTGGTGTGTGTATTAGTGCTGTAGCCGAACCGAACGGAAGTTCGCCGAACATGGCACTTCCGAACCTGACCGAACCGAACCGAACACAAAGGCCTGGTTCGGATGTTCAGCAGAAATAATGTAAACGTTTTCGCAAGCTAATAAACTTGTCATTTTTTACCTAATTTTCATGTCTGCTCATTTTATGTTGACTTTTTTCCCATTTTGTGATTTATGCCTATCCAGTGGTGGGCACAACTTCACTGGTGCCATTTAAATCCCAAATCCTGACCTCTGCTACCTCGCGATCGCAAGCCATAAACAAGGATACATGTGTGTGATCTAGGCGCTGATCAAAACAAGTTCAGCTCAAACCCATTCAAGAACAAAAAAATTATTTTAATTTAACAATATCGCACAAATTTTACAATATAAATAATGAAATAAATATATATTATAGATCTAGTATGAAATTTATTTATTCAGGAAAAATAAGGATTTTATATTTTTCCTATTAAAAATAAACACTTATGAAAAAAAAAAAAAATCAACGAGCCTGATTTGCTATTCAAGATGCCAGCTTTCATGACTCTAACATTAGACAACAACCGTCTCGGAAAATCTTTAAAAAATATCATGTATTGACAAATTGAAAACATGATTCTTTAAAAATTGAAAATAAAATCCGATTCAAGACGGAAATACAAATGTAAGTAGTACTTTTCTTCACAAATGATTACGTTTAGAGCAGTTTTTTAATATGAAATTTGTGCTGATCCGAAGCACTGTTTTTCATCAGGAGTGGGAAGAATCCTCCGCGCTGGTCGGGCCCTATAACGATGCTTGCTATTATATTACCGAACCCCGAACCGAACCAAGTTCGGGTGACAAATTGCCGAACTCTGCCGAACCGAACCGAACACAAACATAGCTCTGACTTACAGCACTAGTGTGTATTTGTGTATGGGTCTAAAAGTACCTGGCTCACAGCATGTATGCAGTGCTAGAGGCCAATACGCATTAGCATTGACTCTCTATGCTTTGCTGGAGTGGAACTAGGGTCTAGTCTTCTTCTTCTTCTTCTGTTAGTATTTATCTTCCAAATCCAAGGGCTGTGCACCCTATCGGGAAGATTTTGAGAAACAAGTCTCACCTGCACCTTAGTTAGCTAGCTTGAATTTGTTTGATGTTACAATAAACAACTTGCAAACATGCAATTTATATAATAATGTTGTATTTTGTTATCAATCATCATCATCTTCTTCTTCTTCTTCTTCTTCTTCTTCTTCTTCTTCTTCTTCTTCTTTTTCTTCTTCTTCTTCTTCTTCTCCTCCTCCTCCTCCTCCTTCTCCTTCTTCTTCGTTTTCTGTTTACTTGTCTTTTCCATTGATGCTTTATTCATGTGCTATATATATTTAGTTACTTGTAACTGCAATACATGCGTACATGGAAATGAATAAATAAATACAATCTATCTATCTTGTTGCAGTAAAAAGCCAATGCTTTCCCCAGAGCCCTGCAATTTTTCTGGCATAGGAAGGGGGGGGGGTGCAGGGGTAGTAAGAAAGCCTTTGGAGCCTTTCTATTTATGCAGGCCAGCCTGGTCAGGCGTTGTCCCCGTTCAGTGCCAGAGCCTCATTTTTAAAGGCCACATTTTTGCCTTCTACTTATTTGCTGAGCTTCCTTCCAAGTTCCGTTCCTGCTGTTTTTCTTTGTTTACAAGTGAATGCCTGATATCTATCCTGTCTTTTACCTTTTTAATCAAATCAATCCATACTGTTAACAAAATAATCATTTTAGCACAGTTATGTACTGTTTATTGTAAATAACATTTAACCTCATACCCGCTGTAAACAAAAAATTGTTGTCACATGAAACAAGTCAAGTTGTGCAAATTGTTGAGGATGATCATGATCACAGCAATTAGACAAATTTAGTGTTGTGTCAATTGTAATTTAATTCTTTAATTAAATCAAATTCATGGCATGAAACTCTCATAAATATTAGTTACTTGCAAAATTTGCAAATATTTTATGCTCAGAAAAGTCTTTTAGGTTTACAGTATTGAACTTTGTGTATGGAATGTCATTTATCATCAGTCTTTTCCTTCCTCACCCTAAATACAGTCCAAACAGCTCGGCCTACTCCGCCACTCTTAGGAAACTCCTGTTGTATTCCTTTCTTCTCTTCACGATACCCATCTTCCTCTACTTTTGCCTGAAGCACACGATTCTTGAAGGTGAGTATCTGTTGCCATGGTAACAAAAGAGATCTTGTTATGATGGAAAATTATACCTCATGGAAACCCCCCCCCCAAAAAAAAAAAAAAAGCTTACACAAATCTAATGTGATACATGCCCATTCAATTCAATAAAAATGTACTTTGGTAGCTGATACAGGAGGAATCAGGATAATGCTGATGGAATGCTTCAACTTTTAGTGTATCGTTTGAAGAAAACCATTTGCCCTTTCCTAGTTTAAGTCGAAGGTAATTTTGATTGAAATTGGAACTGGAAATGGATGTTAAAAAAAATGGAGGAGATCATCTTCAAAGACTCCATGTGAAATTACTTGATACCGGCAGGCGCGCCGGAAGCAGTTTGGGATTGGGGGGGCAAACATTCCAGGGGGCTCACCTTCCAGGGGCAGTGACGTAACGAGCAAAAACGTTTGAAAGGGGGGGGGCAGAAGAAAAATCTGCATCACCATCACTCTTACACGTTACATGCAGGACAGGCCCCGCGGAACGTTTTTCAAAGTGGATTATTAACAATCAGGTAGAGCGTAAAATGGCGTGGGGTCCAGGGCCTGGGCCCAACCCCGGTAGGGGGTCAAGGGGCTGAGCCCCCAGAAGTTTAGGGGTTTTAGGCATTAAAATTATGGTCAGATAAGCATATTTAGATACCTTATTTGTGACACTGGCAGGCCACTAATTGGCGGAGAGTCCAGGGAGCAGAGCCCCCGGAAGCTCAGGGGTTTTAGGTCTTTAATAACGGTCAGATGAGCATACAGGGGACCGCCTTAGGGCCCTTGGTGGGGTCTGGGGGCGGAGCCCCCGTAAGCTCTGGGGTTTTAGACATTTAATTACGGTCAGATGAGCATCCAGGACCCCGCCTTAGGGCCCTTGGTGGGGTCCAGGGGGCAGAGCCCCCGGAAGCTCAGGGGTTTTAGGTATTTAATAACGGTCAGATGAGCATACAGGGGACCACCTTAGGGCCCTTGGTGGGGTCTGGGGGCGAAGCCCCCGTAAGCTCTGGGGTTTTAGACATTTAATTACGGTCAGATGAGCATCCAGGACCCCGCCTTAGGGCCCTTGGTGGGGTCCAGGGGGCAGAGCCCCCGGAAGCTCAGGGTTTTAGGTATTTAATAACGGTCAGATGAGCATACAGGGGACCACCTTAGGGCCCTTGGTGGGGTCTGGGGGCGGAGCCCCCGTAAGCTCTGGGGTTTTAGACATTTAATTACGGTCAGATGAGCATCCAGGACCCCGCCTTAGGGCCCTTGGTGGGGTCCAGGGGGCAGAGCCCCCAGAAGCTCAGGGGTTTTAGGTATTTAATAACGGTCAGATGAGCATACAGGGGACCGCCTTAGGGCCCTTGGTGGGTCCGGGGGCAGAGCCCCCGTAAGCTCTGGGGTTTTAGGCATTTAATTACGGTCAGATTAGCATCCAGGGCCCCGCCTTAGGGCCCTTGGTGGGATTCCAGGGGGCAGAGCCCCCGGAAGCTCGGGGGTTTTAGGTATTTAATTACGGTCAGATTAGCATCCAGGGCCCCGCCTTAGGGCCCTTGGTGGGATTCCAGGGGGCAGAGCCCCCGGAAGCTCGGGGGTTTTAGGTATTTAATTACGGTCAGATTAGCATCCAGGGTCCCGCCTTAGGGCCCTTGGTGGGATTCCAGGGGGCAGAGCCCCCGGAAGCTCGGGGGTTTTAGGTATTTAATTACGGTCAGATGAGCATACAGGGGACCGTCTTAGGGCCCTTGGTGGGGTCCGGGGCGGAGCCCCCGTAAGCTCTGGGGTTTTAGGCATTAATTACGGTCAGATGAGCATATTTTGGCGTGGGGTCCAGGGCCTGGGCCCCGGTAGGGGGTCAAGGGGCTGAGCCCCCAGAAGTTTAGGGGTTTTAGGCATTACAATTATGGTCAGATAAGAATATTTAGATACCTCATTTGTGACATTGGCAGGTCACTTATTTTTTCTCTCTCTCTTTCTTTCTTTTTCTCTGTAACAAATTTTTTCAACAATTGAGGGTGGCACGAGTCCCCGAGCCTGGCCGTTCTGCAGACCCTAACATAAATGCTTCTAAATAAGCATATTTTTCGCCCGACTGTAAACTTGGGAATTTCTAATTTTCCATCAAACGCATAAAAAGGTATGACTTACAAAAAAAATGAGAAAATATACCGGAAAATCATGTCATTTCAGCAACATTTGTACATCACTGGTATCGAATAAAAAAAATACCCCCCCCCCCATCAGTACGCCATCGTTCAGGGGCTCATAAGCTTCTCACCCCTATAACAAAAAACAGACACGCTTTCCCATTCTCTCGCAATATGTCCACGATATGCGCGTATCGCTATTATAAAAACCTACATTGATAAATATAGGTAGCATGCGCAATGTTCAGGAAATTTAATTCCTGTTAACTTTCCTTTTCTTTGAATGGAATTTCATACGTCATTTAATTCAGGTTTTTATTATTGTTATGTTCTTTTGGGTTAAAAATACAAACCATCTTTACTCGTTTACTGCTTTTTTTTTTTTTGAGGGGGGGGGGGCGTTTTGGGGGGGGCAAAAAATGCGTTTTGCCCCCCCCACTTTTGTGATTGGGGGGGCAGCTGCCCCCCCTGCCCCCCCACTTCCGGCGCCTATGGATACCGGTAACTGTTGTTGTTGTTGTCGTTTGGTGTTATCAGCGTTTCATTTATTTTTAGAATATTTACGCCTTTCACTTTTCATTTTTACTATTTGTAAATTCGTACTCTTCTCTTTTTTTTTCTTTCTTTTTTTTGTTAATAATATAATCTCAGATCTACTGGTCCATGAAAACCGGTAACTGCATCTGACTGATACTTTTATGACTCATTAACTCTATGAATAAACAGTTTACTTCACCAAAGTCTGCCATGTAAAACTTTGAAAAGGTCAATGATTCCTGAGGAGAAAAAATGGATTTATACAAATAATGCATGTGCTATCCACCCTAGAAGTAAACGCTTATCATAAGTACTTCCTCGTTTTAATGTAGAAAGCCCTAATTTTACAACATTTTTAGCTAAGAGTAGGGTTGCCAAATTTGAGCAGATTCAGATGAAAAGATTAGTTGATGAAGAGTTAGACAGTTGAGCAAAATTAAATGTAGAGCTGAGATACTTTAATTTGCCTTGAAGCAGGCTGGACTCTACTTGAGTATAGACTAAAATTTATTTTGTTTGGGGATGTGCGCTGCCTAGACTGTCTATGTGTCGCTGCAGGAAATCCCTTTCCAAAAAAGTTTTAACAATTCCTCCAAGATTTTACTTTTAGTTTCTAGCTAGCGTGAAGCTGAAGATCTTGTGGAATATTGCATCAGAAATTTATATGTTGTATCAAATGTTATGGATCCACCCTTTCTTTTCTTTTTTGTGTTATCTTTTGATTTTATTTACAGGTATGTTCCAAGTAGCTGAACATAGTGCCACCCTGTACGGGGCCTTTGCAGCAATAGCAGCAGTCCATGTGATTCTTGGTCTCTTTGTGTACAGTGCATTCATGGAGGAGGAAAGAGCAAGACCTGTGAAAACTGATTAGTTTTATTTTTAAGTCTTTTCTAAAAAAAAATAATGACACTAAATATACTACAAAGTCATCTATCATCAACAAGGATACCATGTGACTGTCTTCGTGACCATCTGAGGAATATTTTTTAATTTTTTATTAAACTTTGCGAAGATATGTTCTTTACATGAGATAAAGTGTGTGGGGGACATTTAGAAATGGATGACATAAAGACACTGTATATAACTGCTGGAAGGCAATTGAGATTCATGAACTTCAGTGTTACCCCCAGTTACTGCTCTTTTAGTCACAGCAAAAACAGCATCTATTTCCGTTTTGACCAACTTGATTTATTCTACTCTTAATTGTTGGACAGCAAGGAAACGAGAGAGGATTGTTTTTCTTCCTTGTTTTGAATTAATATATTTATAATTAAAAAAACAAGTGATTCTGGTTGAGTAATCCAAGTGCTTAAAGGGAAAAACCAACCTTAAAACTAAACTACTCTAAAAGAAAGGGGAGATATTAGAGAAGTAGACCTGTAACAAAATTGGACAAAAATTTAGAAAGTTATGAATTTTGGAAAGTGTGTAGATACCTGTGGACACTTCAACAGAATCGGCAGAGTCAATGTGACGAAGGTGCCAGACAACTTTCCCATTTATTCCAGCATACAAACTGACTAAAATGTCGATTTTTCAAAATGTATGACGCTGGAGAGTTTTTCTTTTAAGGAACCTTTGATAATATGCTACCCACAATATGCCCAAAAGGAGAAGGCGATTAGCAGAAAAACAGAATGCATAGGTATTTTGTATACATGCCAAATGGGAGAATTGTCTATGAGTATGTCACTATTTCAGTCACCGTTTTGCCAATTTGTGTAATTCAAACCCTCGCCATTCTGTTTCTCTTATTTTTCTGCTTAAAAATGAAAATGAAAATGAAATTATTACAAAAGTTGGACTGCCCCAAGTGCCCTTTAATGTGACTTTGTCTTTTCAGTGAATTTGAAAATAATGTCTCCCTTTTGTGCAATATGGTAGTCTCAAGTTCTTAAATTCATGTAATTTACTTAATACTCCTCTCAGTCTCTGGATTCTTGTATGTTTGTTAAGTTGATTTTTTTGTTTGTTAATGATTTAAGAGGGAAAAGATGGAGTGATAAGGTAATCTTATATTGATGGAGAGTGGGTCATCATGATTTCTTTTTTCCTATATACATGTAGTATGGCCCAAGTATTCTTTAGTACTGGTAATACACATGCAGCCATCTTTTGTCAAATATTTGGGCACAATTTCTCTTTAATGACGACCATTTAGTCATCATTTTATCAGATGATATTCAAGAGGACCCACTGCAGTCCTATATATGACTCCTAGTTTCATTAACAAAAGGTGAAATTTCGGAAAAATTTCAATTTCAATCTTTTAATTTGATATATATATATATATTTTTGGGGGGTGTAGATCTTCAGTTACATTCAAGGGGGGGGGGGGGCAGTGCAGACAGGTTTCGGTAAAGGTGATGACAAGTTTAAAAAGTTCTATGTCATAGAAATTATGCATGCAATGTTGGTAAATATAATTCGCTGAAACATAATAGAGAATTATTTGATTTCTAATGCGCATAATTATGTTCATGTAAATGGTTTTGAGAGAACTAATCTTGAGAGTATATTTTCAGTTAATTTTCACTTATTTCAAGTAGAAATATTCAATTTTTCCATTGATCATTGAATCATTAAAAAAAGTACTATATTATGGCAGTGTTGCTTGATATATTGTAAATCATTAATAAGAATTCATAAGCATCGCTTTTTTTCTTTCCGGCCCTTTTTTCAATGCAATTCTCAGATCTCAGTATTGAAAATTGATAAACCAGTTTTATGGATTCAAACTATTGTTGCACATGCAAAATAAATGTAAAATCTGTAAACTAGATCAATGCTTCAAATGTTTTGCATTGAATGAATGCACAAAGTAATGGTGCTTGTACATGTACAACCTCATGTAGTTATAATGATTGCATTCCATGTACATAATATGTGTATAAGCTCTGGCATTCCTCATGCCATTGTAGATATTGTTGTATGATTGCGCAACAGTTGGAAAACAGTTGCGTATACATGTACATGTAAATGGTTCTGCTTTTCACTTACTTGCATGTATGCACATGAAATTCATTTGTGTAATGTATTTCTGTATACATGTAGATACAAAGTTCTGTCCTTTGTCATTTCCTACAAGTGTATCAAATACATGTAACTCATGAATTATGCATGAATACAATTATGTAAGTGACATAATACTTTCCAACAACCAGTACGGAAGCATAATTCTATTGTTTTGAACATAGACAAGTACACCTCTATTGTGAATCATTGCTTGCCATTTAAAGTTCCTCAGATTTATGTGTATGATGTACATGAACACTGTCTAATTTGGAAGACATTACATGTAAAATGCCATAATGTCAATTACAGTACAATAAAAAATTACCTATAAATAATGATTTGAGTTCTTAGATTTGAATTATTTTAGATTTTAAAACTCAATTTAATTAGTTTTAGATCAATATTGGTTTCAAATTAATACTTTGAAATTCCTCCCTGTTCCAAAATTCTTTATTGACATCATATTTCCTTGAAATTCTTGACTTCTGTTAATGATATTCCCAGATTTCATAGTCAATTCCGAGATTCCTATCCTAGGGTGGTATTGATAGTAAGAATCTGAGACAGTCATTTGAATTTGCAGCAAATATTGAATTTATGATACTGTTATTCCATTTTATATTTAAAAAGTGAGAGGATGGGGTTTAATCATAAATTTAAATTTATTTTGTGTACTATTTTTTTTTCTTTACATGTGTCCACTTTGAATTGTGTATCATGGAAATGACATATTCATGCATGAAAAGGATAAACCAAACACAAAGCAAACAAAGTATTGATTATTAATACATTTAATCTATAAGACTCCACCACCTTTCGAATTGTAAAATTTCTTTGTATAAAAGAGCCGGAAAGGACAGCAAATACATGTATTTGCACTGCAATAGAAAGAGTTCTGTACTATTACACCATTTTACCGATGTCACACCACTATAATTGCACAGTATTGAGAAACATAGTAAACTTTTCACTTCATTTTATAGAATCGATAAACATGGAAAGGAGCATGTACTATTTTCATTATTTTTACATCATAAATAATTATTTCAGTAAATTGTGTAAAACTCACCCACCACACAACAATATCCTACCTATTTATTTCAGAAGATATTTCTTTAAAACAAATCCAAACTATGTTGCACATATATTTACATTTTTCATCTCACTTATATCTATGACATGAGCAAGCAGACAAAATGGAGTAAGCTTTCAATTAGCGTACATACATACACACATATTATGTATATACATTCATTTAGAAAACAAATAATGTTAGATACTGAAAGAGAGAGGCAATGGGTAAGAGATTGAGGGTGAAAGAAAGAGGGAGAGGAATTTTCAGGGAATAAATAAGGAAGTGAAGAATATTAACGAAAAATTGAATGCAAAGGAGATGAGAAAGGAGAAAGAAGGATAGACTTGAAAAAGCTTCTTTCTTTATTTTTTTAATTTTTTATTTATTTATTTATTTATTTATTTATTTTATATATTTATTTATTTATTTATTTATTTATTTATTTATTTTTTTTTTTTTGGGGGGGGGGGGGGGGTTTAAATCGGAGAAAGAGAGGGGGCAGATGGAGGGCTCTTTTGAGTTGCATCGCCACAAAGCCGTTTTATGTTGCCTATTACAGCCAGCTACTGGACACCAAGTTCATTGTGTCAGTCGGTAAAAGAATAGAGTTTGTTGCTTAGTGGGGCATAACAAACAGCAAAATAATATGTCCATGCCCACATAATCTGCATGATCAGCCTCTCTCATTACTGTTTCACACAACAACGCCACCTTTGTCAGACGGTCACTCAAGCAATGTTTATTTTCTAGAAGAAAAAAAAGGGGTTTAAAACTGTCAACATGTTGAAAATGTATTATGCTGAAACTGTTATTGTTCATCCAAATGCTATAGGACCCTATACTTATGTATATAATTCGATGAGGAGAGCTGTGACGTTTGCTTACATATAGACCTATTATTAATATCAACAACTTTTGGTGCAGCAAATTTTGCATTTTGACATCATCGCATTCGGGCAAGTATACCATCACCTCATTATCGGGTTTGGGGATAGGCCTATATTTGTTATTTATATCCTACCTGGTATATTCTTAAGACAAAAAAAAAATAATATTGCCACTATATAATGAAGAATTATTTTATTCCTTTGTCGCTTTTAATACCTCGCTGGTTGTAGGCCTACCGCCTATGTGAAAATTATTATAATTGGTAGGCCTACATTTGGGCAAAAATTAACCCCTCCCCGGGTGAAATTATGCTTGTACGCCTATGCTGTGCCCCGGCGCACCAAAATTAAAAATACGTATCTTTATTTCTGTGCTCATGTGCCCTCACGTCGGTAAGGCATAGCTTGTGGCAAATATCTCAATGTATTAGTTTAACAAAAATGTTCTGATGGTTTTCGTCTCCGGCCGTCTTCGAAATTCAAATTATATTTTGCTCTGAATTTGTGCCATGAATTTGAATTGTGAATAATTACCTTTAAATAACATTTGTTGAGAAGGCAAAAGAAATAACAATTTAATATGACAAACTGATGGTAAAAAGTGGTTACATCACATCACAAATTTCACTCATAACAAATAACTACCGCACCATCAGAAAACCTGGGGCCCGTTTCATAAAACTTGTTATCTATTAGAACTGCTAAATTTCTATGACAAATTTGCTCTCAGCCAATCAGATGCCATGATTTCAGTAGCCTGTAACAGTAGCTTTTAACTTGTTATTGATATCAAGTTTCATGAAACAGGGCCCTGCACACAACCGTCACCATTCCCCACGATCTAAAAAGTTTGCAAACTGATCAAGATTCAAAGCGGCTGGTTCCGTCTTTCGTCTCAAATGCCTCATCCCTTTAGCTATAGAACTTTCAGACGCCCCTTCGGCTTTCGGTACATGGATCTTAGGTAATCTCAACCTATTACCGGGTGACTCAATCAACTTGTTTCCGTCATCTTCGGGCGGTATCAGCGAAAATTTCTTAGAGGACATCCCGGAAAACCCTTTTTGTTTGTTTCTCAACGCCACCTCCGCCAATGGGTCCTTGATCATGGCTCGAAGGTCGATCTCCTCCTGATCATCCTCATCACTCACCGCCTCGGCGTCATTTGACGGTGCTGGGCGCTCTGGCGTTAACGCAGTAGGTGCAACAACGTTAGAAACGAAAACGGCAGAAGCTGTCTTTCGCACGACTGTGTATGCATTCGAATCACTGTCTGAATCGTTGTGGTCTTCGTTGCTCTTCTTGCTTGAGGATTCGCAGAGGATGTCCTGACACCGAAGACACAGTGAGCACTTGTGGCACCAGCCTTCGAGACCGATGAGGGCGTCGTCGGCCAGACAGATGGTGTGCTTGCATCGCCAACAGCTCGTCCTGAAAAGGGCAGTATCTGTATTCGAAATTAAGAAGGCGCCATAATTTATATCAGCTTCAATAAGAAAACCTACACTCATAATAATAATGATAATAATAATAATGATAATAAAAACGTTACTTATAAAGCGCTTACCACCGAAGTCTCTAAGCGCTAAAGTCATAATTCTTCATAAGTTGAAGAGGACTTTTGTTGGACAGTAAGAAAATAATATCAGTAGGCCAGGATGCCTAATGATGAAGACCGATGGCGTATCAACGGGAAGGGAGTACAGAAGCATGTGCTCCAAGTACACTTAAAGGAGAGAGGAAGAGAGAGAGAGAGAGAGAGAGAGAGAAAGAAAAAAGAAGAAGAAGAGACTCTAGAGAAATTGAAAGGGTAAGGGGGAGACAGGAAAGAAGACAGTTGAAACTCTTATGCACCCTTCCTCCTTATACATGCCTTATCGATGGACTTGTTAATTCGAATTTCATTTATCGAATAAGACTGGTGTGCTCCCCCCCCCCCCCCATTCCATGTCAATGTGTGTATCCCCTCTAGTCTAAGCCACTATTAGTGATTGGAAACTTGATGATTTCTCTTTCTGAAAAATGTAAAATGTAAGTAAATCATTAGGATCTTTAATATACTCACGAACACTAATCTCATCTTACGTTTTTCATGAGGTTTCTCATAAATGAAGAATCTTCCGACATCCTTGTAGCAGACTCCCTTCCCTAGAACATTGGTGAAGCAACACAGCTGCGTTCCCCTAATGATACCGTAGACGTTGTGGTGAAGGTATTTCTTATCCATGGCCAATTCCGTGATCGTCACTTTTTCCAGTTGGATCGACGTCGGACCTTTACTCCGCTCGACGAAGTACGATCTGATGGCGTCGGCGCTCGTGTTTTGCATTCCGTAGAATTTGTGTTCATGAAGAAGAAAGCTCTCGCCGATGTGCTCGGGAACAGCCACAAATTTCCCGTACCGCCCGTAGTTGAAAAAGACCTATCATGTATGCGAAACAAGGATTCATGCCAATACATTAGATTAATGAATCATTCTGAGAAGAAACGAGCATAACAGAAAATGCCACCTATAACTTCGTGCCAAACGACCTCATACTAGACTTGAACAAAAATCGACCTAAGGTAATTTCAAGATGCCCAACATGGCGCTTAGAGACTTCTGACAAAGTAAGTGTTAGGCGCTATATAAGCACTGTAATTATTATTATTAAATTTCTCGGAAGATGTGCAGTCGTGTTGTGCATGCTTGTAGAATGTCAATTAAACGTACAGAGAATAGAACTACATAATTATCAAAAAGCAATGTCCACATTCATGATAATATTGTTTGATATTTTCACATTCAGAATAGAAAATTTGACTTGATTTGATTTTTTTTGCATTCCATATAAATATACGAATTTTTTGGTAGGATAACAAACATAAAACACCATAAGGTTCTTTCTTACAATTTATATAAGCAAAATTAATATACATGACATTATCACTATATTACCAGGGGCCTTAAGGCAGACCCCGGGATGCTCATCTGACCGTAATTAAATGCCTAAAACCCCTGAGCGTCATGGGGCTCTGCCCCTGGACCCTAGAAAAACTTTATACAATTATTTGCGGAAGAAGGACATGATTGTTCGATGCTTCTATAAAGGGAATGTACGTTTTGTTTCTTATCATCCAGCGAAGACGAAGACGAAATTTCTTAAAGAATTAATAAACCCTAGGCAACAGGTATGGCTACGGGGCTAAATTAGTAATACAATATTACCTGGAGAGCTTGTGGGTCTCGGTCAATACGGTATATCCCGGCGACGGGGGCGTGAACGTCGTCGATTCCCCGGTCGAGAAGCTGGGCAAAGAATAACGAACGAAGTTTCTCGATGCTGGCCCTCGTCGTCTCCAGCATGGTGCCACCGACATTGAACTTCAACCATTTATCGCCATCGACCACGTATTCGGCCGGGAGTTGGACCGACTCGGCTGGCAACTCCTTGATCGATGCAAATGACGACATCGTCGCATCGAATGTCTACGTTTTTTTCAGGGCGTGGTTTGGTATTCACGCCATCGAGGAAGTCTGTAACCAATAATTAAGAAATAAGAGATTGTAGTTATAAAGTAACCGGTTAACAAACCAAATACGAAAGTCAACATTTTTATAAACTCTCAGGATTATATTCACTTAGACTTGGAGGGTTCATAAAACAAACATCCTATGCCGTATAATTTATTTTATTTTTTTTAGCAGATGTTTCTGCATTTATTGATGAAACAAATATATAACATTAAAATAACAATAATAGTATATAATATAATTGATTTACATAAAGAGTGACAACTTAAATACACACCAATAAAAATGCATTATTGAAAGCTTGAAAGTATGGAGGTAAGTAAAAATAATCAAGATAAATGCAGAGGCCAACTATCATATTAAGCAAGGATGCTCGAGTCGATAGCAGCCGGAAAGGGAGGGGGGGTAAAGATAATGGGGCTATGAAAATTAATCCTACAATCTAGAGATTGCACTCATGATCTTCCTTTTCAATTGGAGAGGGGGGGGCGTTTCCACGAAGAAGAAAAAAAAATCAGCAATATTTCGATTCCGATTTCAATTTTGTAAAAGTCTCATCCATATCCCGCTGTCCGAGTTGGTCAACGCATACACCTTTTTCCTGACAATATGATTGTCTATGAACATTGCAATCCAAATTAGCATGACACATTTTGTAACAAGACAATTTCTCCACACCAATTAACGCCTTTACGCTTTCCTTGTCAAAACATCTATTTATAATGCTCAGCGTTATAAGTGACAGTCCTCAACTGAGACATGTTTTTGTTTTATCATAGGACGATTTGATCAAAATACGCATGAAGAATAATGACAAATTAGCCTCCTGCATATATTTATATATTTACAAATAATTTCTCATGATAGACAATGAATTATTCATTCTTACCACTTGCTTTAGATCAGCTGAGCGCCTTACTGTCCTACGCGAAAAAGGGACCCTTTGAATTTCCTTTTACGACAAAATGTCTTGCCTTTAGCTCTCCAAATCAGAAGATAATATATAACTTCTTCGTCGCTTCAAATCACTTTGGGGACATCCATATTATTCGATCAAATTCCATGCACGAAAACGTCAAGCGGTTGCTTCAACAACAAAACTACAATACTTTCGATCACTGTTTCGCGGATTCCAGTACTCCCGGCATCTACCCCGAAATAATACCATCAAGATTCACTCGTCCCGAGGTCAGCAGTAAAAATACCATGACTTAATCCATGGTAGCATATTTATCTTGATTATCTTGAGAAAAAAGATGATAGTGATGATGATGCATCAATTAAACTCATTAGTTCAATACTAAGTCGATACGCATCTCTGTGTACATGTATATGACTGTCTTGACATTTCTTTGGCCTTCCCCGTGCGACATAACACAACGGAGACCACACCAAATCGATATTGTTTAGTATAAGAAGGGCAGTATGGTGCACGTAGGCAAATGGGACCAAAAGAGATCAGAAATCGATTTTAATTTGGGTCTGGTGTGCGCCATTGTTAGTCTTTCTTGACCGGCCCGGTGAGGCGTTTGAGTCAGCCAACAGGTTTAGGACCGTGACTGTTTTTTCTGATTAAATCAAAATACCATGTTCCCAACTGAAATCTTCAGACCGTTAAAAGGTGTCCGCAGTGTTTCAATACCAGTGGCGTAGTGACAAAGAGGCCAATGGACACGTGTCTCATAATAAATCGTAATCATAATGACCTTATTAATTTCAACGAGTAAGACAGATCGAAGGCCCTCAACTTGGGGAGTGTTTCACAAAGCCCTTTTCGATGACAATTGACAATAATCAGTGACGAATCTGCTGATAACCAATCAGCTGCGAGAATTTCAGTAGCTTATAACAAAAACTGTAATTTGTCACTAATGACAAGTTTTGTGAAATGGGGCCCAGGACACACGCTGCGTATATGTCCCAGGCGCGGATCCAGGATTTCTTAGGGGGGCCCCAAATTTAAAATCATGCATGCCAAATATTAGTACGTAGTGGTTACCAGCAGTGGCGTAATGAGCAAACACGTTTGAGGGGGGGGGGGGGAGAAAAATCCGCATCACCACCACTCTTACATGCATGCAGGCCCGGCTGAACGTTTTTCAAATTGGTTCGGGGGAGGGGGGTGGGGGCTAAAGTATTTATGATCAGGTAGAACATAGCATAAATTGGTGTGGGGTCTAGGGGCAAGGCCCCGGCGGGGGTCAAGAGGCGGAGCCCCCGAAGCTCAGGGGGTATGGGCATTACGGTCAGACGAGCATATTTTGATACCTTATTAATGACACTGGGAAGTCACTAATAATAATGGCGTGGGGTCCAGGGGCCAGATCCCCAAGAAACTCAGGGATTTGAGGCACACAATAACCGTCAGAGGAGCATATTTTGATAACTCATTATTTTGTGAGACTGGCAGGTCATTGTTTTGTGGGAGGGTGGGGGGGGGGGGGGGGGGGGCTCGAGCCCCCGAGTCCCGCCGTTCCACAGGCCCTGACATGTAAGCCTCTAAATAAGCATATTTCTTGCTTGACTTAAATTTTGGAATTTGTCATTTTCCAACAAACGCATACGAAAGTATGATTTACTAAAATGTGAGGTCATTTCACAACATTTGTAAATCACTGAAATCGAATTAGAAATAAACCACGGTTTTGCCCCCCCCCCCCCATCAGTACCACAGTGGTGTCCAGTGGCGTATCTGGCGCTTGGTCTCGTTTTTTTTATTTGGGGGGGGGGCGAGAGGGGCGCAAAAGCATCTTTTTCCACTTTTTTTCTTTCCCTTTCTCTCCTCTTTTCTTTTCTCCCCTCTTTCCCTTTCCCTCCCTTCCTTCTCTCTCTTTTAAGTTTGCTGGGGGAGGCACGGGCCTTCCCCCCGATCCACACGTTGTTGGCTGGATTAATTGCAACTGATCTCTCCTTAATGTCACCCGTTTCTTTTCTTCTTCCTCTTTTTTGTTCCATTTTTAGCTCTCTTTTTCCCCGTTCCCTTCATTCTCTCTTCATTTTTGGCGGGGGTGGGGGAGGGGTGGCAAGAGCCTTTTACCCCCTATCAGCGAATTGTTGACGGGAAAATCGCAATTGATATCCCCCTTCTTTACTTTTCGTCTTCCTTTTTTTCTTCTTCCCTTTATCTCCTCTTTTCCCTTTTTATTTCCCTTTCCTTCCTTCTCTCTTTTTGGAGAGGGGAGGCAAGGCCTTTTCGTCCCCGATCTCTTTCATCTCCCCCTTTCTCTTCTTCTTCCTATTCTTTCTTTCCTTTCTCTCCTCTTTCCCTTTACCTGTTTTCCTTCTCTTTCTCTCTCTCTCTCTCTTGTTTTTTTTGGTGGGGGGGGGGGGGGGCAAGACCCCCTCCCTATCTAAATGTAAGTCCTCTACTAGCCCCCTCCCCCCACTCAGTGTTATTAAGGGTACGCGTATGCATGTTCCCTCCTTTTGAAAACACCTCCTAAGCCCGGTGTGTAAAGACAATACGGGGAGATGTTTCATAAAGTTGTTCGTAAAGTTACGCATGACTTTACGAACGACTTGTATAATGAAGTGCCAGATAGGATGCCCAAAGTTTTTTCTGATATTTCATATAACCTCAATTAAATTATGGCAAAAAATATACTTTGTATTAAAAATGTTTGTTAAGATAAGAATGTTAATCTACATCTGCACAGTTAAACTTTAATTGATTCAGTAAATAATGATTGAGCATCCCATTTGGCTTTTTACAAGTCGTTCGTAAAGTCATGCGTAACTTTACGAACAGCTTTATGAAACACCCCCCCCCCCCCGGGCCGGATTTTTGTGTACTACGAGCCGGACTTTGGTGCGTGAAAAGTACCCCTTTACCGGATATTTTGGGAACACGCATGCGGTCCCTCCGACCCCGGAGTGGGGGGGGGGGCGGGCTTCTAGCTTTTTGGGGTATCTTTGGGGTTCTATATGTTAATTATGAGAGAAGGGCAAGATTTCTGCTGCCAGGCTTATAACACACGCACGTCCTTGTGAAAACACCACTTCGGTACTTAGCAAATAACTTAACTTATAAATGTATTTATGAATGGGCACCAATTTATCTGCAAGAACTAATTGCACTTTTTCAGTTTTCATTTACATTTTATGCATAGTTGATTTAATCAATTTGATCGCTTTCTATGTTTGCCTGAACAATGGACATGTCGTTATAACATATTTAGGACAGGGTTCTAACTTATAAATGTATTTACGAATTGGCACCAATTTATCTGCAAGAACTATTTGCACTTTTTTCAGGTTTCATTTTCATTTACGCATAATTGATTTAATCAATTTGATCGCTCACTATATGTGCCTGAACAATGGACAAGTCGTACTAACCTATTTAGGACAGAGTTCTACATTTTTTTATGATTTTGCTTATTATGATTTTTTTAATTTCCAGGCACACAACAATATATTCCAGATACAGGATGTTAGTATTGCGGCGGGGATTCGAATCCCGTACCTTGTGGTTCATGGTCCTGAGACTTACCCGCTAACCAGCTAACCTCTTTTCCTATTTTCTTTCCCTTTCCTTCCTTCTCTCTTATTTTTTTTTATGAGGGGGAGGCAAGGCCCTTTCGGCCCCAACCTCCTTTCCCCTTTTTTTCTTCTTCCGCTTCTTTCTTTCCCCTTTTCTTCCTTCTCTCTCTCTCTCTCTCTCTCTCTCTCTCGCCTGGATCCGCGCCTGGCCTGACAGGACGTTAGTGTTGCGGCATGGATTCGAATCCCGAACCATGGGGTTCAGAGTCCTGAAACTTACTGTTAAAGGTAATAACACAATCGAAATGACAAATCGTGTCTGTGCAACTGACATATAAACATTGTGATTCATTTTGACATTAAGATATTGTGACGTGTCTTCATCCTCTTAATAACAAAGAGACACCTATTTTCCTCCAATTAAAGTCCACGCAAATTATTTTGACGATAGTATATGCATTGGTTTATTAAGCATCATTATGCAAACAAACAAACAAACATCGTAAAATCAGGATAACGGTGAGTTGGTAGCTATAAAGATCTGGGAGCTCATAAACCTTTATGCCTGATGAAAATACATATTGTACCTCGTCAGGGATTCGAACCCTGTACCTTGTGGCTCACCATCCACTTAACCACATGCAGGTAATAATACAATCCAAACGAACGTATATAAACATTGTGATCCCTTTTGAAATTTAGATATTGTCACGTGTCTTCATCTCCTCAATAACAAAGCGACATTTATTTTCCTCACATATATATAGCCCCACTGCATTACTTATAACTACTTGCGCCCTCTTTACAGCCAACAATGCCTCGTGATGCCCTTTTTCTTATGTTAATTGGGAGCTGATTTGATGATTTAACCACCTGCCAGTGACCTTGCAGGGGGTCTAATCCCTCCATGCCAAACTAGTGCAGAGGGGCTTTAAGTCCGCATAAATAATATAGCCTAAATTGGTTTATCAAGCCTTGCCAATGATGCAAACAAGTACGTTATTAACAAAAACGCACACAAATAGATAAACAAACACAACATAACCAGAATAACGGTGAGTTGGTAGCTACAAAGGCCTACCAACTCATAGACCATCATGACTGATACAAATACCTTATGTACTGCGTTTGGGATTCGAACCCCGTACCTTGTGGCTAACAGTCCACTTAACCACATGCAGGTAATAATGAAATCGAAATGACATCTCGTGTTCAACGTGCGTATATAATATAAGCATTGTGATCCCTTTTGACATATAGATATTGTCACGTGTCTTCATCTTCTCAATAACAAAGCGACATTTAGTTTCCTCCAATTAATGTCCGCATAGTTTTCTTATATACAGACTAAATTGGGGTATTAAGCTTTGCAAATGATGCAAACAAGTATTTAAACAAATACCACACACAAATTATGGGTAAACAAACACGGTATAACCAGGAAAGTTGAATTGGTAGCTAAAAAGGTCTGGGAACTCATAAACCATTACGATTGATGAAAAGCCCTATCAAAATTATTGATGATTTAGTCCAAGGATATTTTCAAACACTCTCACAGCACTCTTAGTATATATTACGGAACATTGATTACAATTTGACTAGTACAACAACATTAACAAATCCAGAGCAATATCAATATCAGACCATAAAAATTATAATGAATTGTATATCACACACAAAATTGTTAAAGAAGAGTTTTACTTAATAGGTCACATGAATTCGTATGATTATAAAGTTCACCTCTTGATTTTTTAGAACTGACTCTATAAATTTTGTATACGGAATTATTGTCTGATTAATTATTCTGTCTCTTGCATCAATTCGTTGAATTAAAATGATTTAAACATATCAAGACCAACCAACACACTTTAGATAAGAGAAGAAAGACATTTATAATTTATTTATAATGATTTCATTTGTAATGATTTCATTTTGATGTTTTTATCTTTTGCCTTATAAATGTGAATTTGAATTTGAATTTGACATTAACAAATTACAAAAGTCAATTTGAAAATATTATCAAATCAAGACGAGAAAAATTATTGTTCAACGTTTTCTATAAAGTACCATGGGCTCATTAAAACGCGAATATAAAAGAGGATACACAAAGTTTATAATTTAATGTCGATCACGTGACATTTTAAGAATAACTATTAACCGAAACGGGTAAATTATTACGCAGTGCTATTAGTATAAGTATACATTACATTTTCATGTTTTAAATACACCTTTAAAAAAAAATAATCAAGAAATGAAAGTAGGCCTAAATTTCTGTAGTATAAGCGTTTTTATTCTTAAAATAGTCTCATAAAAGCAAAACAAAACATCAAACGAAAGAGATTAGAACTCCGGCTTTTCTCACACAGTGCTTTATATATGCTTTTTTTAGATAAGCTCATAGTAACTGCATCCATCATATTGGGAGAAGTAGCTAGAAAGAACGCTCGCTCTTGTTTCTTCATTCAGCTCGCATACTCCGTCTTTGTAATTGATGGACTTGCAACCAGCTTCGTGGATGCATTCTGCGGCGCAACGCAGCTTGGTTTTGGCTGGCACTGTCTTTATCACGTGATCAGTTAGACAGTGGCCAATCAGAGGGCGTCCGTCGTTGTCCTTAGCAATGGAGAAGAAGCCGGCAGACTTGTTGGGGGTCGTCTTCGGTTTAGCTAGATTGTGAAGTGAAGATAGAGAAAAAATAACAGATATGAATACATATCTAAATTTAAATTTGATGTTTAAAAATATGTTTTTCATAACTGAAGAATGGAAGAATTGAAATAATTTTAGATGAAACCTTTGATATAAAAATAAAGATAAATCAGAACAAATACATTTTCACATACTTAAAAAATTAAAAAACTTGGTAAGGGTATTAATAATTTAGTTGTTATATATATATATATATATATATATATATATACGTATATATATATATGTACATACAGTGATTGTCTAGGGGTAATGTCCTTATTATGGAGTATTTATATATGTATAAATATGTATATGTACATACATTTATATGTATATAATGGATTTTTTTTTGGGGGGGGGATTTTTTATAAAGACAATGTCATATCAATCTTAAGGATAGGCATGGACAAAATAAAAAGAAATAAACAATAAACAAAATAAATAATGAAGGAAAATCGCAAATTTTCTTATTTATCCTACATTAATTTGTTGGGAGGTGGGAGGGGTGGTGGTGAAGTGTCGGTTATCTTGATTGGTCTCAAATCCAACCCATTCATGACTGTCCCTGGACAAATCTAAGCAATAATGGAAACCCGTCTTAGAATCTGGGGAATGGGGGATATAATACCCCACAAATATGTATACATCTCCACTTCCCTACAAAAGGTATTCCAACTACTTACCAAATTATTTCACCTTTACCATTGTCATTGTTCTTATCATTATTTTTTACTACAATTATTATTATATTCATTTTTCCTTTACTCTTACTCTTACTCTCAATTTTACTTTTATTCTAATTCTTATTCTTATTCTTATTCGATTCTTGTACTTATTCCTATTCCTATTCCTATTCTTAATCTTATTCTTATTCTTGTTCTAATTCTAATTCTAATTCTTCTTCTTCTTCTTCTTCTTCTTCTTCTTCTTCTTCTTCTTCTTCTTCTTCTTCTTCTTCTTTTTCTTCTTTTTATTCTTATTCTTATTCTTATTATTATTTTCAATCTTATTCTTATCCTTATTCTTACTCTTATTCTTATTCTTATTCTTCTTCTTCTTCTTCTTCTTCTTCTTCTTCTTCTTCTTCTTCTTCTTCTTATTCTTATTCTAATTCTTATTCTAATTCGAATTCTTATTCTTATTCTTATTCTTATTCTTATTCTTATTCTTCTTCTTCTTCTTCTTCTTCTTCTTCTTCTTCTTCTTCTTCTTCTTCTTATTCTTATTCTTATTCTTATTCTTATTCTTATTCTTATTCTAATTCTAATTCTCATTCGTATTCTTGTAAAGCGCTTAGAGACGACACACCGTATCACGCTCTAATACATCCCAATTATTGATTATTATTCTTATTCTTGTACTTATTCTTATACTTATTGTAATTCTCAATGTCTTATTCTCATTCTTATTCTTTTTATTTAATCCAAACAAAATCTATTAATTGAAAAATAAAGAGAAAAATACTGGATGAAACATGCCATTACCTTCACAAAGTGTTTCCCCAGTTAAATGACAATGAACTTTAACCAAGCCAGAGTAGTTGTAGGAATAGAAGAGGCAGCTATTAGTGGTATTGGGGGGACGGGTGATGGGTGCCCACGAGGTTGCCCACCAAGCTGTAAGGAAAGTGAGACATCAAACAAAATACGAGGGAGAAGTGAACATTTTCAGGTTTCCGGGGCTTGCACCGACATTATGTTTGCACGGAACTGACCTTAACCCACTCCAAAAAGTAATAGCCATGCATACCCCCAGTTGATTAAAAGATGCTTAAATAAAGCCCCGGCATATCACCTGAAGAGCTCTCCAAACGCCGCTGAGATGTGTGACATCACAGGTTGGGCATGATTTGCACGAGCAGACGACATCCCGTAAAGGATGAACATGATTGCAATGTTATTATTTCTTTAATTACAATGAGTTTAGTGTATATCGATGTGATGGCATTTAACACCATTCAAAAGTGGTTTGTAAATACACAGGGTAGAAGTGAATGAACAATCAAAGAAACCACACTTTCAAATTGAAAATCTCCGGAATGATAGCATGGACGGCATTTGTTCACTCTTGAAACGCCGAACATACCGCGGTGTATGCAGCTGAAAATACAATGGCGTCTTATTTTGTTTACAAGCGATAGATTCCTTTATTTTTTCATCGCTGCATTTTTCATCAAAATAATACCATCCGTGGGATTTAATGTGAGGCAGTAGATTTAACATTTAGCTGTCGGTAGTAAAGTAAGATAATTGACTGAAGAAAAGATGAAACAACTGGCACTAAAAATGTGTGAGATTATACGGGAGATCGTCTGCTTGTGCAAATCAAGCCCAACCTGTGATGTCACACATCTCAGCAGTGTTTGGCGAGCTCTTCAGGTGCTATGCCGGGGCTGTATTTAAGCGTTTTGTAATAATATTGATAATAATCATTACTTGGTATATCTCCAAGCATTGAATTTTGATAAAATTGTCCAATCAAAGTTTCACCTTTGCAATAATGAAAATAAAGTTAGTTTTTTATATCTTCGCCGCACAGCTACTTTAGTCTTCAAGAGAACGTAACCAGCTGGCATTATATACTTACTACTATTAACATCTAACTGTGTGCCGTCTTCACATGGGAAGGTACCCTCCATAGCTTCATACGTACATCCAACCCAGTAAGGGTATGGGTTCCTAGCCCTGGTGACAGCATGAAGCTCATCGTTACTATTGGGAACGAAGAGTGTCCCACCAATCGAGCTACATCGTGAAACCGCTTCGGAATATGTGAACTTTGCATCCCCCAAGTACTTGTAGCACCCGTGACCAATGCTCTCCCATCCACTGGGACATAATGCATCTTTAGGAAGAAAATTAAAGAATTGTTTAATAACTATTATTAATAAACAACATCAATAACAACACCAACAGCAACAAAAACAATAATAATATTAATGATGATAATGATGACGACGATGATGATAATGATGATGATATTGATACTACTACTACTACTACTACTACTACTACTTCTTCTACTACTACTACTACTACTACTACTACTACTACTACTACTACTACTACTACTACTATTACTACTACTACTACTACTACTACTACTAATAATAATAATAGTTTTAAGAAGATTAAACATGTAAAATGTGGTTGTCGGCAGCAAGATCATACGGATGGTAACAATCTCGTTAAATTCGTTATCTCTATGATTGATAGCATGGGTGTCGATCCTTACGTAATACCTATTCATCAGGGGGGATGAATGAATAGATCATCCCCCCTGATGAATAGGTATCAGTTACGGATCGACACCCATGATTGATAGGCCTATATTTAACGATTTTAGAGTAATTCTGATCGAAAATAAGAATGATTAAAATCATCACATTTACCAATTGAATCCCCATTGAATGCCCCCATTGAATCCCAATTCAATACCAATTGGCAAAATTTACCCTACGATACATTCTAATTTACTTCTGATTTCTTTTTATTACTTTTAGGGAGGTATATTCCTACACCCTAAGACAACCATGTCAAAACGATAAATAGTGCATTTATTGTGTTGGAATTGCAATTACCTGTGCGTTGAATGGTTGAAGAACCAAGCAGAATAATTAGAAAGACCAGCATTCTTGGATCACACGACGTCACGCTTATCAAAATAACACCCTAATCAGAGGAACAAAATTTGTCGAAAAGCCTTCGATCCCAGATGATACAAGATCTGATCAGATACTCTCGATATGTGTCAGATATACATCTGAATTCAAACGTCAAATATGTACTGATCATGTGATTATTCGACGTTTGACAAATATGAAAAACATCATTAAAAATGCATCCGTGTCATGCCTGGGTACGGAGAAAAACACTTTTTCCATTTCAGGGCAGTTAAAGAAGAAGTCGCGTTTTGGATAAAGAGAGGTTTAGCATTCTCTTTGTTCACTGCTTCAGAGCCGCTAGGTTGTGGAACAGTCTACCTCAGTACATTCATCCTTTGTTGACTGCTATCCACTTTCAAGGCCCAGCTAAAGACATACCTATTCCAAATTGCTTACAATTAGCCACTTTTCCAGTCTTTCCTAGATGAATCATGAAAGACATTTTGAGTCATTTGATTAGGCAACTATATATTGTCGCTCTAGTAAAGTCACATAATAGGACTACAATTTACTTTAGTAATGCCCTCATGAACTTTGCGACAATTATAATGCCACATGAATGTGTATAGTCCCATAGTACTCACGAGCAGTGAGTTTCCATTGCTTTCATTGTGTTCGTGAATGACAGGAAGGTTGTTGAGTAAATCTGTCACCGTCTTGACGATTCTACAACCTCACAATACACAATATTTTTAATTCTCTTCGTAATCATTCCCTCAAAGCTTCTTTTTCTCCACGATAAACTTTTATGCCCAGAACTCAACTTTACCTTAAAAGGGTATACGATTGAGGTCATTAGACCATGGACCTATGATTAAACCGAGCGGTTCGTATACGCGTAGGATACGGGAGTTCGATGACTTCGATGTGTTACGGCCTCATTTTTGTGTCGTGTTTCCATATTAATTTTCACCAAAATTAATGAGTTGTGTGAAGCTGCATATTTTATGGCTCTAGAACCACATTGCTATTTTTGAATTGGAAATGAAATCCTGAACATGTCATTTTATGTTTTCAAGTCGGGTTTTACATCACGTATTCATAAAGATCATACATAACAATATTTAATAATTATATTTTATCGATTTATTTCTTATATATATACTTCATGTAAATGTTACATTTTAATCATTTAGGTTCAATTTTGTAATGATCAATAATAATTTTTCTCTTAAAACATTATCAAGATGTCCTGCACCGACTCTCAAACTGTATATCTGATCTTATACTCTTTGATTTTCTATTATTTCATATCCAAGTATGCAAACCAAACTCAATATTATTCTTGTTTTCATTGTTTATGATTTATGTACTATGTATTGTTTAAATCTTATATAATGATATTTACATGTCTATGTAATTATTTTTACCCTGTAAATTCACTTGCATCAGCTTCCAGCTGCATTGTTGAATATTCGAATATCACCTTATTAAATAAAATCAAACATTGTGTTGATTCAATTAAAAAAGGTCTGATCGTGGAACAAAGTTACAAAATAGAACAACTTTATATCAAACAGATGAACACTAGCGCATTTCAAGGGGCAATAGGGGAATTGCCCTCGCCCCAAAAGGTTCTCAACCATTACAAAAAAGCTCACATTTCAATCGCTATGAAGAAAAAAAAAATCAAATTATATAATTATATTGCTCTTGAAACCTCATAAACTTAGGGCCATGGAGGTTATTTTGAGACTGTGGATCACCATTGGGTAGGATGTGTTGCACCCCCACCACCCCCACGAGTCAGTATCTATGAAATGTGATATCAATAGATTGAAATAATTGTAGTCGTGTTGATCAGGATGTTTATTTGTTCATATATATATATATATATATAGAGTGAGTCAGAAAAAATGTCCCATGTTTTAAAAGTTGTATTGTTTGCATTATGAATGTTTAATCATGGGTTTCATGATATTGCTTGATAGAGTTATCCTCCAATTACATTAATTTAGGTACCATTTTCATTTGAATCTCTGCATGCATGACTGAACATCAGACAATCTTTACAAGACTGCCAGATCTCACTTGCGCCAAGTTACTGGGTGAGGAATAAAAGTGCATTGAACAGAGACAGTCAGACAGACAGACACACACGCAGACACACACACACACACACACACACACACACACACACACACACGCACACACCCACACACACACACACACACACACACACACACACACGGTAACAATTGTTTCATAATTTCCCCTTTTCTGATTAAGCATTGATTTTTATCAAGATCGCGGAATGTTTAAGTGGCATTTCCCTGACAATCTTTCCATTTGGTACACATTCATTACCACCATCATATCATCATCATAATTGTCATCATTTTAATCTTCATCATCATCATTATCATCATCATCATCAGGGAAATGCCACATTCGGCTGCCAGGCTTGTAACACGCGCACCTTCGCTCCAGTACTCCGGACATTGCATTGGTTGCCAGTGATGTACTGCATTATGTACCAGGGGCGGCGATCCCGGGAGGGCGGGGGACACCCCCCTCCTCAATTTTTTTACTGACCAGAGACATACTTTAAGGCTCTAGAGGGCCCGAGAGTGCAGTGTTTAGACAAATAAAAGTGCAAAAATCTTCTCAAGTCCTCTAGGCACTCATCTGATCGTAATTTAATGCCTACAGTTTTAGGGGCTACGACCCCTTTACCCCACTCCAATTAGTGATCTGCATGCCAGTGTCACAAATAAGTGTTCAAAATTCAAAATGTGCTCATCTGATCGTTATCAAATAACAATCCCTGAGCTACATGGGTCCTAGCCCCTTGACCCCTGCCTGGGCTTTTCCCCTGGACCCCACGCCAATGTACGGTCCACTTGCCTTGCTTGCTTTGCTCTTCCTGATCGTAAATATTTTAGTCTCCCCACCCCCACTTTGAACATCTTTCCGCGGGGCCTGCATGTAACATGTAAGAGTGGGAGTGATGCGGATTTTTTTTTTCTGACTGCCCCAGACTTTTAGCTCATTACGCCACTGCTCCCTCTTCCCGCGTATTTCGCCCCCCCCCCCGGTCATGAAAAGAAATCGCCGCCCCTGTTATGTACAAACTCTTGGTTTTAAGTTATAAATGTACTCATAAATTGGCACCAATTTATCTGCAAGAACTAATTGCACTTTTCACAGTTTTCATTTTTATTTATACATAATTGATTTAATCAATTTGATCGCTTTCTATATTTGCCTGAACAATGGACATGTCGTTATAACATATTTACGACAGGGTTCTAACTTATAAATGTATTTATAAATTGGCACCAATTTATCTGCAAGAACTAATTGCACTTTTCACAGTTTTCATTTTTATTTATGCATAATTGATTTAATCAATTTGATCGCTTTCTATATTTGCCTGAACAATGGACATGTCGTTATAACATATTTACGACAGGGTTCTAACTTATAAATGTATTTATAAATTGGCACCAATTTATCTGCAAGAACTAATTGCACTTTTCACAGTTTTCATTTTCATTGATGCATAATTGATTTAATCAATTTGATCGCTTACTATATGTGCCTGAACAATGAACAAGTCGTTATAACCTATTTAGGACAGGGTTCTACATTTTGTTATGATTTTGCTTATTATGATTTTTTTAATTTCCAGGCACACAACAATATATTCCAGATACAGGATGTTAGTATTGCGGCGGGGATTCGAATCCCGTACCTTGTGGTTCGTGGTCCTGAGACTTACCCGCTAACCAGCTGAAGGTAATAACACAATCGGAATGACACCCTGTGTCCATGCAACGGGCGTATAAGCATTGTGATTCATTTTGACATTGAGATATTGTCACGTGTCTTCATCCTCTTAATAACAAAGAGACACATGCTTTCTCCAAATTAAAGTCCACAAAAATTATTTTGACGATAGTATATGCATTGGTTTATTAAGCATCATATTATGCAAACAAACAAACAAACATCGCAAAATCAAAATAACGGTGAGTTGGGAGCCATAAAGATCTGGGAGCTAATAACCATTATGCCTGATGAAAATACATATTGTACCTCGTCAGGGATTCGAACCCTGTACCTTGTGGCTCACCGTCCACTTAACCACATTGTGATCCCTTTTGAAATTTAGATATTGTCACGTGTCTTCATCTCCTCAATAACAAAGCGACATTTATTTTCCTCACATGTATAGCCCCACTGCATTACTTATAACTACTTGCGCCCTCTATACAGCCAACAATGCCCCGTGATGCCCTTTTTCTTATGTTAATTGGGAGCTGATTTGATGATTTAACCACCTGCCAGTGACCTTGCAGGGGGTCTAATCCCTCCATGCCAAACTAGTGCAGAGGGGCTTTAAGTCCGCATAAATAATATAGCCCAAATTGGTTTATCAAGCCTTGCCAATGATGCAAACAAGTATGTTATTAACAAAAACGCACACAAATAGATAAACAAACACAGCATAACCAGAATAACCGTGAGTTGGTAGCTCCAAAGGCCTACCAACTCATAGACCATCATGACTGATACAAATACCTTATGTACTGCGTTTGGGATTCGAACCCTGTACCTTGTGGCTAACAGTCCACTTAACCACATGCAGGTAATAATGAAATCGAAATGACATCTCGTGTTCAACGTGCGTATATAATATAAGCATTGTGATCCCTTTTGACATATAGATATTGTCACGTGTCTTCAACTTCTCAATAACAAAGCGACATTTATTTTCCTCCAATTAAAGTCCGCATAGTTTTCTTATATATAGACTAAATTGGAGTATTAAGCTTTGCAAGTGATGCAAACAAGTATTTTAAAAAATACCACACACAAATTATGGGTTAACAAACACGGTATAACCAGGAAAGTTGAATTGGTAGCTAAAAAAGGTCTGGGAACTCATAAACCATTACGATTGATGAAAAGACCTATCAAAATTATTGATGATTTAGTCCAAGGATATTTTCAAACACTCTCACAGTACTCTTAGTATATATTACGGAACATTGATTACAATTTGACTAGTACAACAACATCAACAAATCCAGAGCAATATCAATATCAGACCATAACAATTATAATGAATTGTTTATCACGCAAACAAATTGTTAAAACTTCAAAGTAAAGAAGAGTTTTACTTAATAGGTCACATGAATTAGTATGATTATTAAGTTCACCTCTTGATTTTTTAGAACTGACTCTATAAATTTTGTATACGGAATTATTGTCTGATTAATTATTCTGTCTCTTGCATCAATTCGTTGAATTAAAATGATTTAAACATATCAAGACCAACCAACACACTTTAGATAAGAGAAGAAAGACATTGACAAAAGTCAATTTGAAAATATTATCAAATCAAGACGAGAAAAATCATTGTTCAACGTTTTCTACATGGTACCATGGGCTCATTAAAACGCGAATATAAAAGAGGATACACAAAGTTTATAATTTAATGTCGATCACGTGACATTTTAAGAATAACTATTAACCGAAACGGGTGAATTATTACGCAGTGCTATTAGTATAAGTATACATTACATTTTCATGTTTTAAATACACCTTTAAAAAAAATAATCAAGAAATGAAAGTAGGCCTAAATTTCTGTAGTATAAGCGTTTTTATTCTTAAAATAGTCTCATAAAAGCAAAACAAAACATCAAACGAAAGAGATTAGAACTCCGGCTTTTGTCACACAGTGCTTTATATATGCTTTTTCAGATAAGCTCATAGTAACTGCATCCATCATATTGTGAGAAGTAACTAGAAAGAACGCTTGCTCTTGTTTCTTCATTCAGCTCGCATACTCCGTCTTTGTAATTGATGGACTTGCAACCAACTTCGTGAATGCATTCTGCGGCGCAACGCAGCTTGGTTCTCGCTGGCACTGTCTTCATCACGTGATCAGTTAGACAGTGGCCAATGAGAGGGCGTCCCTCGTTGTCCTTAGCAACGGAGAAGAATCCTGCAGACTTGGTAGGGGTCGTCTTCGGTTTAGCTAGATTTTGAAGATTGTGAAATGACGATAGAGAAATAAATGAACATAACAGATATAAATACATATAAAACCACAGTTAACAAGTAAATTATTCATGCCGCTTGTAACCTTGATTTAGAATTAAAAAAATAATTTTCGTAACTAAAGATGGAAGGTGGAATGAGTAAGGCCTTTGGTGAAATAATTTTAGATGAAAGCTTTAATTTTCAAGAAAGATAAATCAGGAGAAATGAATTTGTCACATACTTGAAAAATTACGAAACCTGGTAAAGGTATAAAAAAATTTAGTTGTCAACTTACTGTATACATACATATTATATGTATGTATATAATTGTGACATATGTTAAAGAATATGTCATATTTATCCTAGGCATTGGCATGGACAAAATAAACAAAATAATAATAAAGAATTTAAAAAAAAAATGAAAAGCACAAATTTTCTTAGTCATTCTAAATCAGGGGGTGGGGACAAAGTGTCATCTATCTTGAGTGGTCTCAAAGAATCTCATAGAGCGGGGGTTAAAATACCCCACATAAATGTATATATCCCTAATCCCACTCCAACTCTCACTCTCACGCCACTCTCACTCTCACTCTTACTCCCATTCCCATTCTCACTCCCATTCCCACTCCCATCCCCACTCCCACTCCCACTCCCACTCCCACTTCCATTCCCATTCCCATTTCCACTCCCATTCCCACAACCATTACGACTTCCACTCCCACTCCCACTCTCAATCTCACTCCCACTCCACTCTCACTCCCTCTCCCACTCTTGAATCCCATTCCCATTCCAACTACCACTAACGCTCCCACTCACACTTACACTCCCACTCCCACTCCCACTCCCACTCACACTTACACTCTCACTCCCACTCCCACTCTCACTCTCACTCTCGATCACTCCCACTCCCATTCCCACTCTCACTCTCACTCTCACTCACACTCTCACTCTCACTCCCACTCCCATTCTCATTCTCATTCTTATACATTTTATTATTATCTAATCCATTCAAAAATAATTAGTTGAAAAATAAAGAGAAAAATACCGAATAAAACATGACATTACCTTCGCAAATAGTGGTCCGCTCCCAAGCGGAATAACATCGAACACGTAACAAACCAGACTGGGAGCATGGACCTACATGGTCGGAGCGAAAATAGGCGACGCAGATGTAGGTGCTTCTGGCGGGATCGGGGTTGGTTGCCCACCAACCTGTAAGAACGCAAGCCATCAAACAAAATACGAGGGAGAAGTAAACATTTTCAGCTGACCTCTGACATTTTGCACCGTACTGTTCTTATCCATAACCCACCCTCAAAAGTGGTAACCATGCATACACCCCAGTTGAAAAAAAAAAAAACATAAGTAGGGGTAATCTACCCCAACTTTCCGTTTCGGAGGAGGGGTTACCCCTGTATTTAAAAAAAATCATGGTCTAGTAGGTCCATGAAAAACTGTGCGACTATCGATTGTGAAGTAATATTTTAGATATTTGCTTATTTTTATTTAGTTAAAGGCGATTGTGATTCGACAAAACATTATCAGTTTGGTTATGATATTGCCCAAAAGTTAGACAGACACGTCATTACTCACAATCATGTTGATCAATTTTTACATTTTGTAAAGAGTTGGGCTGACCCGTGGATTTCGAATTTGTTGCTCTTGTGCTTCTACCCCCCCCCCCCCCCAACAAACAAAAAACGCTTCATTGATAGGACTAAGAGAGGGCTGTCAAGATTTCTTTTCTTTTTCCCGGGCAAAAAAAATGACGTAAACAAAATTCACCCCCATCTCATTTTCTCACATTCTAGGCTTTTGAATAAACCAACATTTCTTTGACGTCTCATCGTTCAAATCAGTTAATCAGTTACAACAGCTGCTATTTGGTTTGATTTCTTAAGTCTTCAAGTGAACATAACAAGTTGGCGTTACACTTACAACTATTGGTATCTAACTGTGTCCCGTCTTCACATGGGAAGGTACCCTCCATGGCATCATACGTACATCCAACCCAGGTGTAATCGGATGGGTATGTACTGGTGACAGCATAAAGCTCATCATTACTGTTGGGAACGAAGAGTGTCCCACCAATCGAGTTACATCGTGAAACCGCTTCGGAATATGTGGATGGCAAATAGCCCAAGAACTTATAGCACCCGTGACCAATGCTTTCCCACCCACTGGGACATACTGCATCTTTAGGAAGAAAATTAGATGATTTTTTTTAAATTATTACTAAAAAAACAACAATAACAACAGCAAGAGCAACAACAACAATGATAATAATATATGTGATGATAATAATAAAGATAATGATGAGAATAATGATGAGGATGATACTTCTGCCACTACTATACTACTACTACTACTTATGATAATAATGATAAGATTAAAAGTACGATTCAACTTTAAAAATAAATGTTGCAAAATCTTTTAAAAAAGTTGTGAGCAGCAAGATCATATGGAAGGTAACAATCTCGTTGAATTCAACATCACTTTGATTGATATTTTTACGATTTTACAGTTATTTTTATCGAGAAAAAAATGATTAAATCATCATATTTATTCAAAATTTACCCTACGATGCATTTTTATTTTATTTCCGATTTCTTTCTTTACTCGTACTATCTTCAGGGGTGTATTCCTACACCCTAAAACAACCATGTCAAAACGATAAATAGTGCATTTATTGTGTTGAAATTGTAATTACCTGTGCGTTGAATGGTTGAAGAACCAAGTAGCATGATAAGAAAGACCAACATTCTTGAATCACACGACGTCACACTTATCAAAATAACACCCTAATCAGAGGAACAAAATTTGTCGAAAAGCCTTCGATCCCAGATGATACAAGATCTGATCAGATACTCTCGATATGCGTCAGATATACATCTGAATTCAAACGTCAAATATGTACTGATCGTGTGATTATTCGACGTTTGACAAATATGAAAAACATCATTAACAATGCATCCGTGTCATGCCTGGATACGGAGAAAAAAAATATTTCCAATCCAGGGCGGTTAAAGAAGAAGTCGCTTTTCGCATAAAGGTGGAAAATAACTTGCTATTTTTTTAATTCTCTTTGTTCACTGCTTCTGGACCAAAGTTTTTGGAACAGTCTTTCTCAGTGCCATCATCCTTGTGGTCTGCTATCCACTTTCAAGACCCAGCTCAAGACATACCTATTCTACACGGCTTACAATGATTAGCCACTACTCCAGTCTTTCCAAGTTGAATCATGAAAGGTATTTCGTTAGACATATTTTGATCAGGCAACTATATACTGTCGCTCTACAAAATCCAAGACTGGATTGGATTCGATTGAAATGTTGAAGATTATCACCGTAGGAAAGTCACATAATAGGACTACAGTGTACTTTAGTAATGCCCTCATGAACTTTGCGACAATTGTAATGCCACATGAATGTGTATAGTCCCATAGTACTCATGAGCAGTGAGTTTCTATTGCTTTCATTGTGATCGTGAATGACAGGAAGGTTGTTGAGTAAATCTGTCACCGTCTTGACGATTCTACAACCTCACAATACACAATCTTTTTAATTCTCTTCGTAATCATTCCCTCAAAGCTTCTAGAAATTTTTTCTCCACGATAACCTTTTATGCCCAGAACTCAACTTTACCTTAAAATTGTATAAACACGATTGAGGTCATTGGACCATGGACCTATGATTAAACCGAGCGGTTCGTATACGCGTAGGATACGGGAGTTCGATGACTTCGATGTGTTACGGCCTCATTTTTGTGTCGTGTTTCCATATTAATTTTCACCAAAATTAATGAGTTGTGTGAAGCTGCATATTTTATGGCTCTAGAACCACATTGCTTTTTTTGAACTGGAAATGAAATCCTGAACATGTCATTTTATGTTTTCAAGTCGGGTTTTACATCACGTATTCATAAAGATCATACATAACAATATTTAATAATTGTATTTTATCGATTTATTTCTTATATATACTTCATGTAAATGTTACATTTTAATCATTTAGGTTCAATTTTGTAATGATCAATAATAATTTTTTCTCTTAAAACATTATCAAGATGTCCTGCACCGACTCTCAAACTGTATATCTGATCTTATACCCTTTGATTTTCTATTATTTCATATCCAAGTATGCAAACCAAACTCAATATTATTCTTGTTCCCATTATTTATGATTTATGTACTATGTATTGTTTAAATCTTATATAATGATATTTACATGTCTATGTAATTATTTTTACCCTGTAAATTCACTTGCATCAGCTTCCAGCTGCATTGTTGAATATTCGAATATCACCTTATCAAATAAAATCAAACATTGTGTTGATTCAATTAAAAAAGGTCTGATCGTGGAACAAAGTTACAAAATAGAACAATTCTATATCAAACAGATGAACACTAGCGCATTTCAAGGGGCAATAGGGGAATTGCCCCCGTCCCAAAAGGTGCTCAACCATTAAAAGAAAAGCTCACATTTCAATCGCTATGAAAAAAAAAATCAAATTATATAATTATATTGCTCTTGAAACCTCATAAACTTAGGGCCATGGAGGTTATTTTGAGACTGTGGATCACCATTGGGTAGGATGTGTTGCACCCCCACCACCCCCACGAGTCAGTATCTATGAAATGTGATATCAATAGATTGAAATAATTGTCGTCGTGTTGATCAGGATGTTTATTTGTTCATATATATATATATATAGAGTGAGTCAGAAAAAATGTCCCATGTTTTAAAAGTTGTATTGTTTGCATTATGAATGTTTAATCATGGGTTTCATGATATTGCTTGATAGAGTTATCCTTCCAGTACATTAATTTAGGTACCATTTTCATTTGAATCTCTGCATGCATGACTGAACATCAGACAATCTTTACAAGACTGCCAGATCTCACTTGCGCCAAGTTACTGGGTGAGGAATAAAACAGTGCATTGAACAGAGACAGTCAGACAGACAGACACACACGCAGACACACGCACACACACACACACACACACACACACACAACACACACGGTAACAATTGTTTCATAATTTCCCCTTTTCTGACTAAGCATTGATTTTTATCAAGATCGCGGAATGTTTAAGTGGCATTTCCCTGACAATCTTTCCATTTGGTACACATTCATTACCACCATCATATCATCATCATCATCATCATTGTCATCATTTTAATCTTCATCATCATCATTATCATCATCATCATCATCATCATCATCATCATCAGGGAAATGCCACATTCGGCTGCCAGGCTTGTAACACGCGCACCTTCGCTCCAGTACTCCGGACATTGCATTGGTTGCCAGTGATGTACTGCATTATGTACCAGGGGCGGCCCTCCCGGGAGGGCGGGGGGACACCCCCCTCCTCAATTTTTTTACTGACCAGAGACAAACTTTAAGGCTCTAGTGGGCCCCGAGAGTGCAGTGTTTAGACAAATAAAAGTGCAAAAATCTTCTCAAGTCCTCTAGGCACTCATCTGATCGTAATTTAATGCCTACAGTTTTAGGGGCTACCCCTTTACCCCCACTCCAATTAGTGACCTGCATGCCAGTGTCACAAATAAGTGTTCAAAATTCAAAATGTGCTCATCTGATCGTTATCAAATAACAATCCCTGAGCTACATGGGCCCTAGCCCCTTGACCCCCGTCTGGGCTTTTCCCCTGGACCCCACGCCAATGTACGGTCCACTTGCCTTGCTTGCTTTGCTCTTCCTGATCGTAAATATTTTAGCCTCCCCACCCCCACTTTGAACAACTTTCCGCGGGGCCTG